AATTGTGCACATTGACAATGGGCTTCCATATAAAACAGCTCGTCGTGGTGAATTCACTTATACCCACGTTTTCAGTCGCAATTTAGTTTTATCACATGTAATGATTTGCATGATATTGATAAAAATGAAGCCTGGTTTGTTAGAATGTTGTATGGTAGGCCTACTGTACTTTCTATTCATTTGAGAGGGTTAATCGTTCATTTTTATAGGCTAACGTTACTTGATGAAGGCTGTTATAGCAACTCTGTGCTTTTGTCTTGAAGCTAAAATGTAATGAGTGTAGCCTACAGATGAGAAGATGGACCATTTAATTGTCTGCACACACATGCTTGTGAATTGTTGCATTATTCAAGAATGTAATATGGATTGGTTGCATTATTTAATAGTGTTATATGTTTTAGAAGAGAAGTTTCTGTCATTGTTGAATAGATTGTGCATACTGGCTAGTGGCTACTGTGATATTTAGGCAAGGATGTAATGTGAATTGAAAAGTAGAATTCTCTTTCATATCTCGTAGTGGGAATAGGGTCTTAATGATCTACAGTGGGGAGAACAAGTATTTGATACACTGCCGATTTTGCAGGTTTTCCTACTTACAAAGGATGTAGAGGTCTGTAATTTTTATCATAGGTACACTTCAACTGTGAGAGACGGAATCTAAAACAAAAATCCAGAAAATCACATTGTATGATTTTTAAGTAATTAATTTGAATTTTATTGCATGACATAAGTATTTGATATATTAGATTCCGTCTCTCACAGTCGAAGTGTACCTATGATAAAAATTACAGACCTCTACATGCTTTGTAAGTAGGAAAACCTGCAAAATCGGCAGTGTATCAAATACTTGTTCTCCCCACTGTATATAGAGGACAACAACAGTAGGGAAAAGCAGGGGGGGGGGGGGGGGGGCATTCCTATTTTGGGAAACAGCTGTTTAAAGTCCACAGTCCCTGAAGGGGGATGCTAGGGGCAGTGGGAAAAAGTGCAGTCATTTTGTTATTTTGTTATTGCCAAAGTACGGTTGTTCGCCAGCTAAGCCCCATTTCCTGTTTTAGCATAGCAAAGCAAGTTATTGTTGCAGACGGATACACCACTTCAGTCGCACCAAGAGTGTATTCAGAACCTCAATTACCTCAGAACCTCAATTACCTCGACTAACCGGTGCCCCCGCACATTGACTCTGTACCGGTACCCCCTGTATATAGCCTCGCTACTGTTATTTTACTGCTGCTCTTTAATTATTTGTAACTTTTTTTGTTGTCTTTTTTTAAATATTCTTTCTTAAAACTGCATTGTTGGTTAAGGGCTTGTAAGTAAGCATTTAATTGTAAGGTCTACACCTGTTGTATTCGGCGCATGTGACAAATATAATTTGATTTGAACAAACAACCTTTGACTTAATCACCTTTATGGTTGCAATAACCATCTACCATTCTCAGTGGCCAGATGGTAATGGTTCATTTATATGGGGCTTTCACTGCAGGCCTTCTCTTAGCCAACCCTTAGCTCATCTGTACTGTGTATAATCTCTCTTTCTTCTAGAATGGTATCTCTATCTGCACAGGGCATGTTTCTGCAGAGAAGGAGGACTGTGGCATCCAGACAAAAGATCTAATGATGAGGTTATCTGCTGGTCAAGCTAACAGACTACCAAGGCCATTGAAGGCTCTGGGCGGACCACCTGGGCATAAAACTTGTAGTCCAGTTACTTGATATAAAAAGCTGACTGATCTCATGAGAGGAGTGGTCTACATCCGTGCATGCGTAAGTTGACCCCTTGATAGTTGTCAGATCTCCAGTGAGATGTAACAGCTGCACGCCTGCACTCGCTTCAAAAGCAGACTAATAAAATCTGCAATAATCCTCAAGGATATTTAGTCTGGCAGGGAAACAGGCTGAGATGAAAATGATAAAGTAGCATGTTGCAGCAATGACTTAAGCAGACCATGTGGTCCAGCTGTGATTCAGCTCTGTGACAAAGAGGCAAAAGCTTGATACTTAACAATGTGTTTATGAAACATTTGTTTATGAAAAAAACATTGTAAAAGCAGGTATAATTATAAGAAATTCTCTGTGCAGAGTGCTAGTGTATACAAATAATATAAACGTTCTTACAAAAGTGTATTTGCTAAACTATTTTTCTTGCTCCTCCAGATAACGTATACAAATAATTTCTCTACCTAATTACTAGTGCTGCAGACTGCGCTCCCGCTGCACTCCTCTCAGCACTCCCCCTGTCCCTCTCCTTCATGTCACCATCCCTCCATCTGGCCTGACAGCTTGTCTTCCACACACCTCCTCCATCTAGCACACAAAGGCTACCAAGGTGAGCTGAGGTAACCAGACCCCAGGGCTCCCTCCAGATGGCTCTGCCCACACCTCCAACAGGCCAGCTGGGCATCTCTCCTTTAGCACACTCAGGAAAAAGAGAGCGGCTATCCCCATAGCTTTGCCTCTGACAAGGTGAGAGGCAATCAAACACCTTCGCCATTTTAAAGTAGTAATATCTATGATAAGGGAGGTTGACTGACAATGTGCTTTGAGAACTGTGACTGGTGTGAGGTAAGTGGAGAGCTTGTATGTGAGAGGAAAGGAAGAGACAGAGAGAAGTATGTATGAGCTGAAGTATTGAAAACAAACCCACAGGAAGCTGAGGTCTGTCTGGGCCTTCCGTTATCCCAGCCTACTCTCAGGAGGACTAGGGGAGATGCACGCACACGTTCCTCACATAAAACAACATCCTCCCTCCCTGCCTGTCAGGAGGGCTGACCTGGGACATCCCCAACTCTGACTCCTGACCCCAGCTGACCTTTGGGTTCAGAGGTCACCCATGCACCATGCTCATGATGACCACTATGCTATGAATGTCCATAAACCCAGATATGATCAATTCTGGCATAATCAAGTTGCTTTGCTTCTACTGTGCATACAGGAAACATGGAAGCAAAAACTGAGTTTTCAGCACTGCTATTCAAACACATAAAAACACACAATTATTTATTTCACAAAGTAGGCCTATGTTTTTTTTTTACAATGTAGGAAATTAGGTGACATTTGGTCTCCAGTCTGACTGAGGCACAAGTTGGGACCATTTGGGAGGGGTGGGGGGTGGGGAGAGACTGTATGAGAACCAGAACACCTCTTACCATTTGTGTGTTCTGGACACTGTGAACCCAAGTGTATTGGTGAAGACAGGTGTGTGTGTGTGTGTGTGCACAATATACACTGAGCGTACAAAACATTAAGAACACCTTCCTAATATTGAGTTGCACCCCCTTTTGCCCTCAGAACAGCCTCAATTCGTCGAGGCCCACACAGACCCAGACCTAACACACCTTTGTGTTCTCCCAATCTGGAGGCCTCCTGTGCTCTATCTACCCTGGCCTACATGGCTCATTTAGTCCCAGCACAACACAGCACAACAGCAGAGCTCAGCCCAGCCATTAGCTGCAGTTGGATGGCTTCCTGTGCATTGAGACATGAAGATACTTATTTAGAAGCTGAACTAAAATATATGCTGAGGTCACAAAAAAAGAGACTTGAATAGTTGGGGTCTGGAAAATATTGTCCCCCTCCCCCTGGAAACGGGCAAGAGATCTCATCTCTGCAGCGTGTTATAAATCTTTAGGTTCTGGATATTTAAAGTGCTCCCTCTGCATTACTGCTAACATTCACAGTGAATCAACTTTTTTCCATGCAGTTCTGACACGGTTTGGAATGTCTGGGCAAGGGACATGTAAAAGGGAGAGGAAAAACAGAACTTCCCTAGACAGAACTGGTGAAAAGAACACGAGAGAAGAAAACATGATTTCCAACATTAATCATAACAAAAAGCCATTATGTCTGTGCTGTCCCCACCCCATATGCTCTCATAGGTTTCATAACAGCCCTACATATTGCCATAGCTATCTAGCTTTTCAACAAGCTTTTAGCACACCAAAACAAGAGAGGCCAGAGTTGGTCTGAACTGAGCAAGAGGACAGTGTACAGTACTATACTGGCTTGGTGAGGAGGTATCCCCCTTTCCCTTTGGTGAGAGAGTCAGTCTCCAGTCTCAGCACTGAATGGCAGTGAGGCACAGCTGCCCTTGCTATCAGGTCAGGGCACCCAATCACGCAGCTGCAACATGTTTGGTTGTAACCACAGTCGTAACCGGACCTGCACTGTTTAAACCCCACCACCCCTCTCAGGTCCCATGGGGCAGAGTTACCAGGGTTACCCCACTCTGACCCCCAACAACCCTGATCTGTCGGGATTCGGGGGCCCCTGTGGGAGGACGAGGCCCGCTTCCCGGGTCAGACCCCCTCCAGAGGTGAGCTATCCTGGGACAGGGCAGGAGGGCGTGGTGGGAGGCGGCGGTCGCATTACCTCATCATCGGGCGCCCTCCCAATCCATGACCCAAAACTAGACCCAGAGTTCTGTTTGGCTTTCTAATTGGCAGGCGCCCATTCTCCTTCTAGGTTCTAGTGTGGCCATTGTTCCATATAAACCAATAAGCCTAGCATTACATCTGAAGCCACTGGAGATGTGGGACTGAAATCTCTCTCTTCTTAGAGCACAGGCTCTTTTCTTTAGCTTCACACTTGGGTGCCTTTATGCATTGAAGGTCTCCTGGATTGTGCAAACACAGTTGCAGGCAGGGTGGTGTGTGGGTGGGTGGGTAGGTGGGTATACAGTTACTCCCTGCCTTACCTGGATGCTAACACCCCCTCGGATTGGACTGAGCTGAGTTAAGACATCCCTTATGGGCAGTGGATTCTCAGGTTAGCTATCTCTTACACTCTGGGCACTCACTCACTGTAGGAACTAACTCTCTCCAGAGAGAAAATATGTGATTTAATCTGTCTATAAAGCGGAACAGATTTAGGCCTAAATGCTGAAGTAACAGTAGCAGTTAAGAGTCAGACTGAATACAGTCTGTTTTATTCTGTTTTACCATGTAAATACTGTCAGTTCCATTCCCTCTCCAGTTTAAAAACCAATCGCATTCATCACTTTACACCATGGGTTTCTGTGCTGACCGGTCACTCACCATGAAGCGCTGTGGCCCGAGGGGCTCTGACAGGACACAGTACTGGACAGCCAGGTTGATGTAGCCTGAGCGGTAGGAGCTGATCTTCCTGTGGCCCTGGACCAGCTTGTACAGCTCCACACACATCAGACCTGCCACCGCAGCCGTGGTCGTGGCTATAGCCGGGATGATGCGCCCCGCGATCAGCTTACTCTGTGGATGAGGGCAAAAAGAAGCTCCAGTTAAAAGAGAGTGTGTGTGTGTGCTTGGTTTTACTATCCTTGTGGGGACCAGAAGTCCTCACAAGGATAGTAAAACAAGGAAATGTGGGGGGGATATAGCGGGGACATTTCGCCGGTCCCCACACGGAAAAAGGCTATTTTAGGCTTAGGGGTTAGGTTTAGGGTTAGGGTTAGAATTAGGGTTAGGAGTTAGGGTTAGAGTTAGGGGTTAGGGAAAATAGGATTTTTATTGGGAATCAATTTTTTGGTCCCCACAAGGATATCAAAACAAATGTGTGTGTGTGCATGCGTGCGTATGTGAGGGGGTGGAGCGGGTTGCCGCTAACTGCCTGGAAATGCATGTGATCTTTTGAGATACAGGGAAATCTCTGAGAAGTCTCATAGGATCGCTCTTTCTGTCTCTCTCTGTCTCTCTCTGTCTCTGTCACTTTCTGTCTCTGTCACTTTCTGTCACTATCTGTCTCTCTCTGTCTCTCTCTCTGTTTCTCTCTGTCCCTCTCTGTCCCTCTCTGTCCCGCTCTGTCTCTCTCTGTCTCTCTCTGTCTCTCTCTGTCACTCTCTGTCACTCTCTGTCACTCTCTGTCACTCTCTGTCTCTCTCTGTTGTGTCGCTGTGACACGACAAAACAACGAGGATTCTAACCTTGTGACGATCAGCTGTTGGGATGTCGTAGTTCTCTGCCCTCAAGTTAGAGGCAGCCACTATGTAGTCCATGTGGAAGTTATTATCATCATCCTGTAAATACAATTCATCATCTTTATAATACATCAATTAATGAACCCTTAATATCCAAAGACCCCTACACTGTTATGTTTTATCCTTCAGGGAACACCTGCCACAGGAGGAACATCATTCTGAAGAGGAGACAAATGGAGATACATTCTGACATACAGTGGCTTGCGAAAGTATTCACCCCCTTGGCATTTTTCCTATTTTGTTGCCTTACAACCTGGAATAAAAATGGATGTTTTGGGGGGTTTGTATCATTTGATTTACACAACATGCCTACCACTTTGAAGATGCTTGAATACATTTTTTTGTATTGTGAAACAAACAAGAAATAAGACAAAAAAACAGAAAACTTGAGCGTGCATAACTATTCACCCCCCCAAAGTCAATACTATGTAGAGCCACCTTTTGCAGCAATTACAGCTGCAAAGCTCTTGGGGTATGTCTCTATAAGCTTGGCACATCTAGCCACTGGGATTTTCGCCCATTCTTCAAGGCAAAACTGCTCCAGCTCCTTCAAGTTGGATGGGTTCCGCTGGTGTACAGCAATCTTTAAGTCATACCACAGATTCTCAATTGGATTGAGGTCTGGGCTTTGACTAGGCCATTCCAATACATTTAAATGTTTCCCCTTAAACCAATCGAGTGTTGCTTTAGCAGTATGCTTAGGGTCATTGTCCTGCTGGAAGGTGAACCTCCGCCCCTGTCTCAAATCTCTGGAAGACTGAAACAGGTTTCCCTCAAGAATTTCCCTGTATTTAGTGGGGCAATCATCATTCCTTCAATTCTGACCAGTTTCCCAGTCCCTGCCGATGAAAAACATCCCCACAGCATGATGCTGCCACCACCATGCTTCACTGTGGGGATGGTGTTCTCGGGGTGATGAGAGGTGTTGGGTTTGCGCCAGACATAGCGTTTTCCTTGATGGCCAAAAAGCTCAATTTTAGACTCATCTGACCAGAGTACCTTCTTCCATATGTTTGGGGAGTCTCCCACATGGCTTTTGGCGAACACCAAATGTGTTTGCTTATTTTTTTCTTTAAGCAATGGCTTTTTTCTGGCCACTCTTCCGTAAAGCCCAGCTCTGTGGAGTGTACAGCTTAAAGTGGTCCTATGGACAGATACTTCAATCTCCGCTGCGGAGCTTTGCAGCTCCTTCAGGGTTATCTTTGGTCTCTTTGTTGCCTCTCTGATTAATGCCATCCTTGCCTGGTCCGTGAGTTTTGGTGGGCGGCCCTCTCTTGGCAGGTTTGTTATGGTGCCATATTCTTTCAATTTTCTAATAATGGATTTAATGGTGCTCCGTGGGATGTTCAAAGTTTCTGATAATTTTTTTTAGAACCCAACCCTGATCTGTACTTCACCACAACTTTGTCCCTGACCTGTTTGGAGAGCTCCTTGGTCTTCATGGTGCCGCTTGCTTAGTAGTGTTGCAGACTCTGGGGCCTTTCAGAACAGGTGTGTATATATACTGAGATTATGTGACAGATCATGTGACACTTAGATTGCACACAGGTGGACTTTATTTAACTAATTATGTGACTTCTGAAGGTAATTGGTTGCACCAGATATTATTTAGGGGCTTCATAGCAAAGGGGGGTGAATACATATGCACGCACCACTTTTCCGTTATTTATTTTTTAGAATTTTTTGAAACAAGTTATTTTTTTCATTTCACTTCACCAATTTGTACTATTTTGTGTATGTCCATTACATGAAATCCAAATAAAAATACATTTAAATTACAGGTTGTAATGCAACAAAATAGGAAAAACGGCAAGGGGGATGAATACTTTTGCAAGGCACTGTACGTTACATACATTATTACATCAACAGCTGTGAGATGAAGATAAGAACAACTGATTCTCAGCACATCCCTGTCTAAACGCTGTTAGCCATATTAAAGCCAAATGAGTCAATGATGTCATGCCGTGGTTCGTCTGCTTTGAGCTCTGCCTTTGTGTCTGTGTCACTTTAATCACACGAGTACATGACTTATTCACCCCTCTGCGATGTAGTGGAAATCAGATTCCCCTGTGAGCGACACTGTCTATGAGCTCATGCCTCAGCCAGCACTACAAAGGCTGGAGAGGGCGACAGTCAGTCAGGGGCAGCTGGAGGGGTCGTGAGGTAGTCACACCTGGCAACCCGATTCTGCAGAATCCGTTTCCTCACATTCCAGGCATCTGTAGCATGACCTCGCCAGTTGGTTGAGGTAGAGAGGAGGAGGAGGTGGACGAGGAGGAGGAGGAGGAGGAGGTGGAGGAGGAGGTGGAGGTGGACGAGGAGGATTAGGAGGACGAGGTGGAGGAGGAGGAGGTGGACAAGGAGGATTAGGAGGTGGACGAGGAGGAAGAGGTGGACGAGGAGGATGAGGAGGTGGACGAGGAGGATGAAGAGGTGGACGAGGAGGATGAAGAGGTGGACGAGGAGGATGAGGATGTGGACGAGGAGGAGGAGGAGGTGGACGAGGAGGAGGAGGAGGTGGACGAGGAGGCTGAGGAGGTGGACGAGGAGGAGGAGGAGGTAGACGAGGAGGATGAGGAGGTGGACGAGGAGGATGAGGAGGTGGACGAGGAGGATGAGGAGGTGGACGAGGAGGATGAGGAGGTGGACGGGGAGGAGGAGGTGGACGAGGTGGATGAGGAGGAGGTGGACGAGGAGGATGAGGACGTGGACGAGGAGGATGAGGAGGTGGACGAGGAGGATGAGGAGGATAAGGAGTTGGACGAGGAGGAGGAGGAGGTGGACGAGGAGGATGAGGAGGTGGACGAGGAGGATGAGGAGGATAAGGAGGTGGACGAGGAGGAGGAGGAGGTGGACGAGGAGGATGAGGAGGTGGACGACGAGGAGGAGGAGGTGGACGAGGAGGAGGGTCTTAGTCACATCCAAGGCAAGGTGACATCTGATACTTACCTGTCTTACCTCATCAACCCTACTCACTTCGCCAGCCACACTAATCAGTCATCTGCACTACACAGCTCCAAACCTCATTTAACGATAGATAGATGAGGCGGGGGAGTGAGAGAGAAGAGAGAGAGTGGGAGTGAGAGAAAGAAAGACAGAAAGAAAGAAAGGAGAGAGAGGGAGGCTCAGGTTCCTCTGCATGACAGTGACTGGCTGCACAATGGAAGTGTTATGGAGGAACTCTTGCCCCCTGGGCTGTGTGAGTGTGCCGCTTCAAAGGGCTGGGTGACATGGTGGTGGTAGACCATGTGAGATGGGGAGCGGGGGCTAGGGGGGGACACTGTAGACAGGGATCCTCAGTGACCAAAACTCCCTACAGCCCCACAAACAGTGCTAGAGGTCCTCAGGCCTAGTCACTGCAGACTATTTATTCACCACTGTTCTGAAGGTTGTTTTTAACAAGATGTGCGCTCTCTAAAATACTCCCCCTTGCAGTAGCAGTGCAACAGAGAGGCCCCAGAACACAGGACAGGCCTGTTTCCTTAGACACTGAGCCACCGCAGTGTGTGTCCTGTTAGGGACTAGAACAGACAAGGGTCATTGAGGACCCAAAGACGAAACTGCATTTTCTTTGCCCCATATAGAGTTCAGCGTGGCCCCCTGCCCTCTGTGTGGTCCCTAACACTATGCAGTGTTACCAGTGGAGATATGGCGAGCATGGCGCTGGGCTCTTATTACCTTCTCAAAGTCAATGGGGTGCATCTGCAGGGCTGCGCTGTTCACTGGAGGAGAGGACAGCTTCTTCTGCAACTCCTCCAGTCGGCCTGTGTCTGGTCAAATGGAAAATAAACACATAGGCCTGAGAAACAGGCATATAACACAACATACAGTAGATAAATGGACAGTTTCCTCACCCAAATTTCCACTCTCCCTCTCCTCCTCCATCTCCTTGTCAGTGAGATGGATCTTGACAGTAGACTTGGGGGTGAAGGCAGGTATGTGGACCCTCTCTAGGACGCTCCTGATGGCAGAGCAGTCTCGTGTACCCACAATCCCATAGATCTGCCCATAGAGGTTGGCTGCTGCCACCACATAGTCCATATGGGTGGTCTACAATACATGACAAGATAACACAAACTGTTAATGACCCCCCACCTCTACATCTCAACAGTCAGAACCAGACCCGCTGAGGTAAAATAAATAATTACATTACACACATGCTGCTAACTCAAACAAAACCCACAAATCCACTTTGGTCATATTAGGGGTGGTACAAAGACCACTTCCTACCATTTGCACGTGAGGAGCAAAAGCTGTGGAAAATGTTAATATCTGACAGGATGTTCCTCATGGATAAGGTTGGGTAGGTTACTTTCTAAATGTAATCCGTTACAGTTACTAGTTACCTGTCTAAAATTGTAATCAGTAACGTAACTTTTGGATTACCCAAACTAAGTAACATAATCTAATTACTTTCAGTTACTTTTGGATTACTTTCCCCTTAAGAGGCATTAGAAGAAGACAAAAAGGATCCATCAAACGCATTTGGTGTGTCATCATAGTGGTCTCTGGCTTGTGGTCAGACTTGCTCAGGTGGAACAAACTTAAACAGAAAGGTGTCATAATGTATTTTTTCGCAAACATTGCTCTGAATTTTAAAGTAATCCAAGAAGTAATCATCTAGTTTTTCAAAAGTATCTGTAATCTGATTACAATATTTTTGCTGGTAACGTAACTGATTACAGTTAAGAGTTTTTTGTTATCGGATTACATGTAACTGATAAAACATATTGATATTTTTTGGTTATGTCCAGAGGGTTTTTTCCCTTAAATGTAATCAGTTACTCCCTAACTCTGCTCATGGAATATGGCCACCACATGATGACTGGGCTGTTTGAGCTATCAGCAGAGTCACCCAGTAGTTACCAAAGGAAAAAACCCTCTGGACTTAACCAAAAAATATCAATATGTTTTATTGTCACATACACCAGACAGATGCAGTGAAAGGTGTTGTTTTACTAGGTCAGCCATTGTAGTACGGTGCCCCTGGACCAAATTAAGGTTAAGTGCCTTGCTCAAGGGCACATCAACAGATGTTTCACTTTGTCAGCTCGGGTATTCGAACCAGCAACCTTTCGGTTACTGGCCCATGCCTCTAACCGCTAGGCTACCTGCACCGTCAAGCCAGAAAACAAGTCAGAAAACCATCGCAATTTACATCAGTTTAAAACCTCCCATCGGTGACCAACAAACCCCCTTGTGATTCATCATGTCGATTTTTTAAAGTAATGTTTACCATTGAATACATCAGAGGACTGTAAAAGATTCATAGGGTGGTTCCATTGATTTACAACTGCTATTAAATGACATTCAACAGGCCATGAATAGGCTCTATGCTCTAGAAGCAGTCAGTGTGTTCATTGAGTCTTGATAAGAGGCATTCCTAAATACCATTGTTGTTGTCCTATTGTCTGTCTGTGAGAGCTGCAAGCCCAGACCTAAGGACAGGTGAGGTGACAACCCTCACACCAGGAGAGAGGAGGGGAACAGAGAGGAGAGAACAGAGAGGAGAGAACGGAGATGAGGGGAACAGAGAGGAGAGAACAGAGAGGAGAGAACAGAGAGGAGAGAACAGAGATGTGGGGAACAGAGAGGAGAGAACAGAGAGGAGAGAACAGAGATGAGAGAACAGAGAGGAGAGAACAGAGAGGAGATAACAGAGATGTGGGGAACAGAGAGGAGAGAACAGAGAGGAGAGAACAGAGATGAGGGGAACAGAGAGGAGAGAACAGAGAGGAGAGAGAACAGAGATGAGAGAACAGAGATGATGGGAACAGAGAGGAGAGAACAGAGAAGAGGGGAACAGAGAGGAGAGAACAGAGAGGAGAGAACAGAGATGAGAGAACAGAGATGAGAGAACAGAGATGAGGGGAACAGAGATGAAGGGAACAGAGAAGAGGGGAACAGAGAGGAGAGAACAGAGAGGAGGAGAGACAGAGAGAGAGAAAGAGGAAGAGAACAGAGAGAGGGAACAAGAGATGGACAGAGAGGAAAAGAGAAGAGGGGAACAGAGAGGAGAGAACAGAGAGGAGAGAACAGAGAGGAGAGAACAGAGAGGAGAGAACAGAGAGGAGAGAACAGAGAGGAGAGAACAGAGATGGAGGGGAACAGAGATGAGGGGAACAGAGAGGAGAGAACAGAGAGGATATAACAGAGAGGAGAGAACAGAGAGGAGAGAACAGAGAGCAGGTGAACAGAGAGGAGAGAACAGAGAGCAGGTGAACAGAGAGGAGAGAACAGAGAGCAGGTGAACAGAGAGGAGAGAACAGAGAGGAGGGGAACGGGGAGGAGAGAACAGAGAGCAGGTGAACAGAGAGGAGAGAACAGAGAGGAGGGGAACGGGGAGGAGAGAACAGAGAGGAGGGGAACGGGGAGGAGAGAACAGAGAGGAGAGAACAGAGAGGAGGGGAACAAAGAAACAGAGCATAGGTGAAGAAAGACTTAGGTGAGAGGAGGAGGAACGGAGAAGACAGGAGGAGAGGATCGGAAAGGTGAGGAGAAAGGAAGGAGGGAGAGCAGCGGAGTTAAGAGAGGAGAGGAACGTAGCATAAAAGATAACAGAGGAGAGGAACGTAGCATAAAAGATAAGAGAGGAGAGGAACGTAGCATAAAAGATAAGAGAGGAGAGGAACGTAGCATAAAAGATAAGAGAGGAGAGGAACGTAGCATAAAAGATAACAGAGGAGAGGAACGTAGCATAAAAGATAAGAGAGGAGAGGAACGTAGCATAAAAGATAAGAGAGGAGAGGCGTGTTCACACTCAAACAACATTTGAACCCCTTGGTCACAGATTCTTCACCTCTATAGCTCCATTGTGTGTGCTTGTGCTTGTGTGTGTGTGTGTGTGTGTGTCTGTGTTTATGTGTGCGTAAAGGTGGTGATGAGGTAGATTTTATCCACCTTGCTTTGTCTGCAGCAGCAGGTAAGTGGTTCTCACAGGTTAGATAAGAACCAATCCAATATACAACCAGAGAGAATGTGAGGAGTGTGTTATCATTACATTTACATTTTAGTCATTTAGCAGACGCTCTTATCCAGAGCGACTTACAGGAGCAATTAAGGTTAAGTGCCTTGCTCAAGGGCACATCGACAGATTTTTCACCTAGTCTGCTCGGGGATTAGAACCAGCAACCTTTCGGTTACTGGCACAACGCTCTTAACCACTAAGCTACCTGCCGCCCCATTATCAGCTGAGATAATGACATTTCAAATCATTCCCGCTGACCGGTTCGACAGGCAAATGAGACAAATGCAGAACACTGTGTGTGACTGAGACTGAGGAAAATACAGTAGGTTGTGTAAAACTTACATTGTTGGGGTCAAAGGTCAAGAGATGGGGACATCTCTTTGCTCCAGACCAGAAAGGCAGACCCGAACTCGTCAACTGAGAAGAGACAGACAAAGAGTGAATTCTAAATGACATCAATCAATCACAGCAATAAATCATCAATACAATGAAGGTATTCAAAGCAAAGAGAGTCTTGTGACTGTCCACACCAATTCATAGGAAATATACATGACACACCTAGATGATCATGGGATGGTGTTTTTTCGCGGCAATATGATAAACATGATATCTTCATAACCACAGAGTACATGGGATTTGTCCTTGTGCTTGGTATATGCATGACAATCACATTTTAATATAATACTTTCCCTGGGTCATTATCTGACGTGCCAACACCACATTCCCAGAGGCCATGCAGGCAGACAGCGAAACAAACAGACTGATGTTGTTATGAGTTGTGTTTACCACAACATTTGTTGTCCTGATAAAATAAGAACAGAGGAGCCTGAGAGCTTTGATCTAGCCAACAGTCCCAACAGTCTACCAACAGTCCCAACAGTCTACCAACAGTCCCAACAGTCTACCAACAGTCCCAACAGTCTACCAACAGTCCCAACAGTCTACCAACAGTCTACCAACAGTCATAACAGTCTACCAACAGTCCTAACAGTCTACCAACAGTCATAACAGTCTACCAACAGTCCTAACAGTCTACCAACAGCCTACCAACAGTCTAACAACAGTCCCAACAGTCCCAACAGTCTACCAACAGCCTACCAACAGTCCCAACAGTTGACCAACAGCCTACCAACAGTCCCAACAGTCATAACAGTCTACCAACAGCCTACCAACAGTCCCAACAGTCTACCAACAGTCTACCAACAGTCTACCAACAGTCCCAACAGTCTACCAACAGTCCCAACAGTCTACCAACAGTCCCAACAGTCTACCAACAGTCCCAGCAGTCTACCAACATTGCCAACAGTCTACCAACATTGCCAACAGTCTAACAACAGTCCCAACAGTCTAACAACAGTCCCAACAGTCTACCAACAGTCCCAACAGTCTACCAACAGTCCTATCAGTCCTAACAGTCTATCAACAGTCGTAACAGTCTACCAACAGCCTACCAACAGTCTACCAACATTGCCAACAGTCTACCAACAGTCCCAACAGTCTACCAACAGTCTACCAACAGTCCCAACAGTCTACCAACATTGCCAACAGTCTACCAACAGTCTACCAACAGTCTACCAACATTGCCAACAGTCTACCAACAGTCCCAACAGTCTACCAACATTGACAACAGTCTATCAACAGTCTACCAACAGTCCCAACAGTCTACCAACATTGCCAACAGTCTACCAACAGTCCCAACAGTTTACCAACAGTCTACCAACAGTCTACCAACAGTCTTCCAACATTGCCAACAGTCTACCAACAGTCTACCAACAGTCTACCAACAGTCCTAACAGTCTACCAACATTGCCAACAGTCTACCAACAGTCTACCAACATTGTCAACAGTCTACCAACAGTCCAAATCATCTACCAACATTGCCAACAGTCTACCAACAGTCCCAACAGTCTACCGACAGTCTACCAACATTGCCAACAGTCTACCAACAGTCTACCAACATTGCCAACAGTCTACCAACATTTCCAACAGTCTACCAACAGTCTACCAAAAGTCCCAACAGTCTACCAACAGTCCCAACAGTCTACCAACATTGCCAACAGTCTACCAACAGTCCCAACAGTCTACCAACAGTCCAAACAGTCTACCAACATTGCCAACAGTCTACCAACATTGCCAACAGTCTACCAACAGTCCAAACAGTCTACCAACATTGCCAACAGTCTACAAACAGTCTACCAACAGTCCCAACAGTCTACCAGCAGTCCCAATAGTCCCAACTAGGGATGTGGTGGTCACAAAATTTCATCAGCCGGTGATTGTCAAGCAAATAACTTCCGTGCTCACGGTAATTGACATAAACACATTTAGCATCTCCTGGCTTCCACACATAGCCTACAAGCCACTGATGCAGACCTTTGGAACATCTACATTTAAAAAAGTCTAATAAATCCATGTAATTTAGCCTACACCTTCACAATAAATCCATTATTTATTTTAGACAGGTCTAAAGAAACATGATATGAAGAAAATGTAGACTATTTCAGAAGAACAGAATACCATACTCTGAGGTGACTTTATGTTAGATCCTGATCTGGCTATGCCATATGGCTGTGGGCTACACTAGTTAATTTAGCAGACAAGATTTGCTTAGTATTTTATAGTATGAAGAATACAATTAAACAAAGCTGAATAAAATAGAAAGGATCTTTTCTCCGAACGGTTTGAGGGAGTGCGCACATGCGGCTATTCTGTGTTGAGCGGTTAAAAAAGAAACAGGTACTCCTATATGCTTAATTTAGAGTTATTAATTTAACTTTAGTTGTTCTATAAACGTTGGGCTATATGTTTTGATCTTTAATACATTGTAAGGCTGCATTATGCGACTAATGATGATTTGAAAAAAGTAGGATGAAAGGCATGAGCTCTGCTTTGTTTTTTTGCGCAGGCTGTACACTCTTCATCAGTCTCATTCACAATTTGACAAGCACTTGATAACGCCTCGAATTTCACGGCAGCATCCACTTTGTGTGGCCCTAATGCCTCCTAAAAAAATCCATGTATTTTGTGGCCAGTGGCCGTTGTGCCCTTGGGCTAAATATAATAATTATAATTCCCTTCTCCCTGAGTGCTGCGTGCTCCGAAGCACCTCTCACTCACATGGCTCTCCATCACGTGATCTGGTCTTTTACAAGTGAAGACAGACACATCGGGGACGCAACTGCGCGCGTCCTTATCCAATTCCGAGGTGCATATTGAAGATATTGGAAGAACTGTACACATTTACTTTTCGTCAGTCAACAAGATGAGTAGGCCTAATGAACAGCAAAAGCACTAGCCTACAGTATGTCAATCTACTATCCCCCATAGTACAAAAGTTGACCTATTCTATTCTGTGCGAGAAAGAAATATTCCAAACATAGTCTGGGACAGTCATGGGATACGATAGATCCCAAATTAATACAACCACTAGCATCCCAAAAACTTTTGTACGCAATGTTGATAAACTATTAGTCTATTTCTTCACATTATAAGCGCAGCAATGCGGACATGGCAGTAGGTTATAAGCGGAATGTTCCATTAACGGTAAAACACCATTATCAAAAGTGACCACAAATACGATTATGCATGTAATGCTTTTATTATAAAGGTGCATTTTTATGGTGAAAATTATCTTCCCCAAACTTGCTTATGTATGCCAGTTAGGCTCTACACCCCTTGTAAAACTGATTAATGTGCTTAATTTAAATAAGTTATTTAGCCACTTTTGTTGTGATACAAACCTTATCAAAACATATAGGCCTGTGGGCATACATGAGGTGTGCAACTATGATTTGAAAAAGTCAACAACAAAAAAAAGTATTGTTTCATGCCTTACGCTGGGCATCATTCACAAGTGATAATATATCCTTCACAAGTGATAGGCTAATATTGTCACCCATCACACTATTCTTGATTTAATCTTGTCTTTACATATACTAAATAATACAGTTGAAGTCTGAAGTTTACATACACTTAGGTTGGAGTCATTAAAACTCGTTTTTCAACCACTCCACAAATGTCTTGTTAACAAACCATAGTTTTGGCAAGTCGGTTAGGACATCTACTTTGTGCATGACACAAGTAATTTTTCCAACAATTGTTTACAGACAGATTAATTAATTTATAATTCACTGTATCACAATTCCAGTGGGTCAGAAGTTGACATACACTAAGTTGACCGTGCCTTTAAACAGCTTGGAAAATGATGTCATGGCTTTAGAAGCTTCTGATAGGTTAATTGACATCATTTGAGTCAATTGGACGTGTACCTGTGGATGTATTTCAAGGCCTACCTTCAAACTCAGTGCCTCTTTGCTTGACATCATGGGAAAATCGAAAGAAATCAGCCAAGACCTCAGAAAGAAATTTGTAGACCTCCACAAGTCTGGTTCATCCTTGGGAGCAATTTCCAAATGCCTGAAGGTATCACGTTCATCTGTACAAACAATAGTACGCAAGTATAAACACCATGGGACCACGCAGCCGTCATACCGCTCAGGAAGGAGACGTGTTCTGTCTCCTAGAGATTAACGTACTTTGGTGCGAAAAGTGCAAATCAATCCCAGAACAACAGCAAAGGACCTTGTGAAGATGCTGGAGGAAACAGGTACAAAAGTATATATATTCACAGTAAAACAAGTCCTATATCGACATAACCTGAAAGGCCGCTCAACAAGGAAGAAGCCACTGCTCCAAAACCGCCATAAAAAAGCCAGACTACGGTTTGCAACTGCACATGGGGACAAAGATCGTACCTTTTGGAGAAATGTCCTCTGGTCTGATGAAACAAAAATAGAACTGTTTGGCCATAATGACCATCGTTATGTTTGGAGGAAAAAGGGGGTAGCTTGCAAGCCGAAGAACACCATCCCAACCGTGAAGCACGGGGGTGGCAGCATCATGCTGTGGGGATGCTTTGCTGCAAGAGGGACTGGTGCACTTCACAAAATAGATGGCATCATGAGGAAGTAAAATGATGTGGATATATTGAAGCAACATCTCAAGACATCAGTCAGGAAGTTAAAGCTTGGTCGCAAATGGGTCTTCCAAATGGACAATGAACCCAAGCATACTTCCAAAGTTGTGGCAAAATGTCTTAAGGACATCAAAGTCAAGGTATTGGAGTGGCCATTGCAAAGCCCTGACCTCAAACCTATAGAAAATCTGTGGGCAGAACTGAAAAAGCGCGTGCGAGCAAGGAGGCCTACAAACCTGACTCAGTAACACCAGCTCTGTCAGGAGGAATGGGCCAAAATTCACCCAACTTATTGTGGGAAGCTTGTGGAAGGCTACCCAAAATGTTTGACCCAAGTTAAACAATTTAAAGGCAATGCTACCAAATACTAATTGAGTATATGCAAACTTCTGACCCACTGGGAATGTGATGAAAGAAATAAAAGCTCTCTCCTATTATTCTGACATTTCACATTCTTAAAATAAAGTGGTGATCCTAACTGACCTAAGACATGGAATTTTTACTAGGATTAAATGTCAGGAATTGTGAAAAACAGAGTTGAAATGTATTTGGCTAAGGTGTATGTAAACTTCCAACTTCAACTGTAATGCAGGCAAAGTTGTTTCCTACTAAATATTTGAATACTTTAGCAATGTCATCGTATTTCCAGGCATTATATTGTAATTTTGAATAAACAGTCGCTAGCCTCCGTCCAGAATGACTGGGCTTATGACGACTTTAGGGCACCACTATTGCACAGCCGGTAGAGGGTGGCTCGAGAACGTTCATAACAATGGCATGACGCGACCGAGTGACGGAGGTGCAACCTATGAATAGGGAGAAGTATCTAACAAAATAACTCCATTATGTAATTCACTAATCATAAACTATTTACATACAGTATAATAGAGATGTTGGTACATTTGTTGACAACATTCTTACTTACTCAACCTTTAATACCATTCAATCTGCATAAGGGCATTTTCTGTTGGCTAAGGGGTGGGAAACAGTTAAGTTAATAAGACGTATGCCTGTAAAATAGATTTGCATTTATTTTCCCAAAAAACATTTCAGCCTAATGGTAAGGCAGTTAGACACTGTATTTCACTCATTGAAATTTTGTGGAGGTTAACCGACAGTAGCCTTATCACACTTCCCCAGAAAGCAACTGTGGTTAGAAACAACTCTCTCGGAGGATACAGAAACCACAGCCAGGCTAACTGTACTAATGACCTATTAAAACAGAGAGAGAACAGAGGAAGAAAAACAGAAACCCCAACATGTTACTGATAACAACAACAAATGTCTGTCCTTTTGTCACGGTCATTGATGAACGGGTCAGACAAAGGCACAGCATGAAATGCATACATGTTTATTGAACTGAATAAACATACAAAACAACAAAAGGAAACATGATGTCGGAAGGCTATACACAAACAAGCCAAAACTCACCGAACACAAACAAGATCCCACAACACAGGCAGGAGAACTGGCTGCCTAAGTATGATCCCCAATCAGAGACAACGAGCGACAGCTGCCTCTGATTGGGAATCACACCCGGCCAAACATAGAAATAGAAACATAGAAAAACCCACACATATATTCACACCCTGCCCAAACTAACTAGAGTCTATAGGTCAGGGCGTGACACCTTTTTAAAACATCCTGCTCCCATAAGGCTTGTGCCACTGCAGAATAATAAGCTACACTACATTACTTAATGCAAACACACAAAGGGATCTTTTCTCTCTGTTTTGATACATTACAATCTTTTACATGATGTATTGCTGCCGCTCAACAGAACCGTAGCCCAGAAACTTGAGTGCTTCAGAGCATGAGGCACGGCCTGGCCCATTGTTTAACAATGACTCATTTTCCTGCTAAATGAGTCCAATACCAAAAGGGCTTCTCTCAGGGGACTTGGAGCAAAAATGCTATGCATTTCTTCCAGACGAACCCACCCTCCCACCAATAAGGCTTTAAACAGGATATGAGTGGAATGGAATCGGTTGTCTCGGTCAGAGGAATTTTTATTGACCCATATTATATCAAGCAAGAGAGGGGAGATAGGGTTATCAGACCAGGCCAGACAGGTCCAGTTGTCAGTGTCCTGTAAAGGGTTAATCCATATGATCACAGGGGGAGTGTTTGGGTAGACACCCCCCAGGTGTAACAGCATGTAATGTGATGTCACTCTCTGTAGTCTATATGCCTCAGGATATTATATGGATCCCAATAGACACTTTTGAGGATACCATATCAGTGGGCTGTCAAATACTAACTATCCCAAGATATGTTCATGGTGTGTTCAATATGCTTAAAAAACAGTTTAGGGCTATATATTCTTGGATTATGCCTTCCAAGGTAAAAATGAGAATGGGTATCTGAAAATGTTGAAGCATTTCCAATGATTGGACATTTCACTGTATATAAACTTGCCACTACATATGGCATATGTCTTGATCATGTATCAGCACACTGGTGTCACATTTAACAGAGATCAAAAGACAGGCTTATAACCAGTATCTGACTATCATCTTATGAAGAACGCATAAGGTGTGTGAACAATAGTGCCACCAAGTGTTCATATTCATAAACAACGTTAAAGAAAACTCTTTGGGGATTTAGGAGCTATGCCCCTGGTTTTCCAATGGTTTTCCAGTGTGTGTTGTGTTACTCTTACCTGGTCAGAGGGGAAACAGTGCAGCAGCTGTGCGATGTCGTTGTTGTAGAGGGTCTCCCACTGGCGACGGGCCCACCCAACACAGTCCTTCCAGCCTTGGGGCCGCTGTCCCCCCACGCCTCCCCACACACACTCCAGGACCTCCAGAGCCTCTGCCTCCCCCCGACCCAAGGTGCGCTCCAGGAACCCAGCAGCATCCCTGCAGGGAACAATAGCATAAGCACCATTATACCAGGAACTCTCCCCTAATGGACCTGCATGTAATCTCCTTCAAGAGGATGATTCTCCAGAAAGACTCAAAACATAAACACAAAGGAGAACAATGGGGATGCTGTAAGATGGGTGGGCAGGATGAGGTGGGCTTTACAACTCATTTAAACCATCTCAAGGTCTGCTAACATACTCCTCTACTTTCGCCCCCTCCCACGGTTTATCCTTCCAAAGTGAGAGAGTTCTGGCTCTGCTTGTTTTCAAATTCCAACGGTAATTGTGTAACAACTGAACGGTGGTGGTGGAAGCAGCCATGTCCTGTTTAACAACACCTATTTCGGTCAAACATGGACACATACTGTAACTATCCTCTTGTGTCCTTTACCTGCATTTGTCTGAGGTTATCACACCTACTTTGAAGGGATTCCTATGGGTGAGGCAGTGCATGGCAAACCCAAGATATAATCTTGACTCCTGAACAGCTAATCATGGCTACCCGGACTATTTCCCCCAGCCCATCTTTTTACGCTGCTGCTACTCTGTTAATTATATATGCATAGTCACTTTAACTCTACCCACATGTACATATTACCTCAACTACCTCAACTAGCCGGTGCCCCCGCACATTGACTCTGCACCGGTACCCCCCTGTATATATAGCCTCCCTACTGTTATTTTATTTTACTTCTGCTCTTTTTTTCTCAACACTTTTTTGTTGTTGTTGTTTTATTTTACTTTTTTATTAAAACATAAATGCATTGTTGGTTAAGGGCTGTAAGTAAGCATTTCACGGCAATGTCTACACCTGTTGTATTCGGCGCATGTGGCAAATAAAATTGGATTTGATTTGATTTGATCATTCATCCTGTCTCCTAATGTCTGTCTAACAGGAAGATGAACAACACTGCACACTGAGTCAGTCAGTCAGGGGGTAGTATTGTTACTGAGAAGTGAGAGGGGGTTAGTGCTGCTGCCTTTGAAACTGGCCCAAGGTCAGAGGTCACCCTGCATCTGAGGGGAAGGAAGTGTTTGGAGTGGTGGTGTGGTGGTGGTGTGTGTGTGTGTGGTGTGTGTGTGTGTGCGTGCGTGTGTGGAGCGTGTGTGCAGAGCTCCATGGGTAGTATCTATCAGCCTGAGTCACATGTATGCCTGGTTCCTGTGCCACGGCCCGTGGTATAGGTTCCTCTTTAAACACTCTTGGCTTTAGCTTAAACAGCTCAGTGCTGCCCAGGAAAGACAAGCAGTGTAGAAGAAGTAGAAGCAGACTGCCTCCCTTGCAGACAGTTACACTTCAGGAAGCATGGCAGCAATTTGAGATTGTCTGTTTTACAACATACACATCAAATGTTATTAGTCGTATGAACAGGATACACATGGTATACACTGTGCAACAAAATGCTTACTTGCAGGTTCAACACATGTGGCTTAGCTGAATATGAAGCGGCTTGTTAAAGGAAAATGTACTCTTCCTCGCTTCTCTATCTGAATGTGAATGTGACTCCCTATAACCTTTGTCTCTACCATGATGGGATGTTATCCTATGTGTGTTTGTTATGTGTGTGATGGAGACGAGTGATGCCACAGAAATCTATTCACCACTTCATAATAAAAGACCTTGACATACGCAGCATTTGCCACAACTTTGCTTCTTTGTTTGGCCAACAGACCTTTTCCCATCACCTCTTTACATCAGACAGAACCATATTTCCCTGAAGGGATATTTCCCATGGCTCCAGTATTGGGGTAGTGTTTAGGAGGAGGCCCTGAGAGAGGATGAGGGGATTGGGTCCAGTTAACACAGCATATATCCTGCGCTACACAGTCACACCATCCTCTCCTCTCCTACACCTACTCTGTTAGTCTGAGATGTTGGAGTGGTTTTCTTCTGAGTCTGTGGGGCCTGCTGGGTGAGGTCTGCTCTCGTCTCCAGAGGACACTAGTCTCCACAGGAGGCAGGGGGCTTCTCCATCATTAAAGGGGCCTATATTAAATCTCAGTAAGATACACTGAGCCTGGGAGAGAAACACAGGCAGGCCATGAGTCTCAACTGAACTCTTACTGGGGCAGATTAACAGGGCTCCGGAGCAGCTGATGGACTCTTACTGGGGCAGATTAACAGGGCTCTGGAGCAGCTGATGGACTCTTACTGGGGCAGATTAACAGGGCTCCAGAGCAGCTGATGGACTCTTACTGGGGCAGATTAACAGGGCTCCGGAGCAGCTGATGGACTCTTACTGGGGCAGATTAACAGGGCTCTGGAGCAGCTGATGGACTCTTACTGGGGCAGATTAACAGGGCTCTGGAGCAGCTGATGGACTCTTACTGGGGCAGATTAACAGGGCTCCGGAGCAGCTGATGGACTCTTACTGGGGCAGATTAACAGGGCTCCGGAGCAGCTGATGGACTCTTACTGGGGCAGATTAACAGGGCTCTGGAGCAGCTGATGGACTCTTACTGGGGCAGATTAACAGGGCTCTGGAGCAGCTGATGGACTCTTACTGGGGCAGATTAACAGGGCTCCTGAGCAGCTGAGACGCACTGTCACTCTCACAGACCCACAGACCATTAGATAAACACACAATACATACAGAATACACAAGCAAGACGCCAACTGTATTCCAAAAGTGTTGTAAAAACCAACCACAACAAAACCATGAGGACAGCTGGTACTTCATTATAATACTTACTTTCCTCTATCAGCAGTAACTAAACTAGTCCTCAGGCCTTTAGGTGGATGGATGTATATGAGTTGGAGATCTCTGTCTAATTAGCTGACTGACTGTGTGCCAGATCATTAACCCAGGAGGGTGAGCAGCTCTGAGGCCCACATGAGAGAGAAGTCCCCTGGTGGGAGGGTGGTTTTACCCAGAAGGACATCTCTTACCTGAGCTCTACTGCTACACTGGCTGTTCTTTAGAAACAGCACTAACTACTGCATTACCATCTGTAGGGCTCACTAGTTATTAGGGGTATGTACAGTGCCTTCAGAAAGTATTCCTACCCCTTGACTTATTCCACATTTTGTTGTGTTACAGCCTGAATTCAAAATTGATTAAATATCCAAAAATTACTCACCCATCTCCACACAATACCCCATAATGACAAAGTGAAAACATGTTTTTAGAAAGTTTTGCAAATGTATTGAAAATGTAATACAGAAATATTTCATTTACATACAGTATTCACATCCGAGTCAATACTTTGTAGAAGTATATTTGGCAGCACTTACAGCTGTGAGTCTTTCTGGGTAAGTCTTTAAGAGCTTTACACACCTGGATTGTGCAACATTTGCCCATTATTCTTTTGAAAATTCTTCAACCATTTTCAGATCTTGACATTTACATTTTAGTCATTTAGCAGACGCTCTTATCCAGAGCGACTTACAGTTAGCGCATACATTATTTTATCAAACCCACAACCCTGGCGTTGCAAACGCCATGCTCTACCAACTGAGCTACATCCCCTGCCGGCCATTCCCTCCCCTACCCTGGACGACGCTGGGCCAATTGTGCGCCGCCCCATGGGTCTCCCGGTCGCGGCCGGCTACAACAGAGCCTGGATTCGAACCAGGATCTCTAGTGGCACAGCTAGCACTGCGATGCAGTGCCTTAGACCACTGCGCCACTCGGGAGTACATAAATTATCAAGTAGATTTAAGTCAAAACTGTAACTCGGCCACTCAGGAACATTCCCTGTCTTCTTAGTAAGCAACTCCAGAGTAGATTTGGCCTTGTGTTTTAGGTTATTGTCCTGCTGAAAGGTGAATTCATCTCCCAGTGTCTGGTGGAAAGCAGACTGAACCAGGTTTTCCTCTAGGAATTTGCCTGTGCTTAGCTCCATTCCCTTTCTTTTTTATCCTGAAAAACTCCCCAGTCCTTAACGATTACAAGCATACCCATAACATGATGCAGCCACCACTACGCTTGAAAAAATCACATCAAATCAAATCAAATTGTATTTGTCACATGCGCCGAATACAACAGATGTAGACCTTACAGTGAAATGCTTAATTACAAGCCCTTAACCAACAATGCAGTTTTAAGAAAGAATACCAAAAAAAGAAACAATAAAAAATACAATATAAAATAATACGAAATAAAAGTAACAAATAATTAAAGAGCAGCAGTAAAAATAACAATAGCGAGGCTATATACAGCACTTAAACTCTGTAACTGTTTTAAAGTCACCATTGGCCTCATGGTGAAATCCCTAAGCAGTTTCCTTCCACTCAGGCAACTGAGTTAGGAAGGACGCTTGCATCTTTGTAGTGACTGGGTGTATTGATACACCATCCAAAGTGTAATTAATAACTTCTCCATGCTCAAAGAGATATTTAATGTCTGTTTCTTTTTTTTAACATATCTACCAACAGGTGCCATTCTTTGCGAGGCATTGGAAAATTTCCCTGGTCTTTGTGGTTGAACATGCGTTTGAAATTCACTGCTTGACTGAGGGACGTTACAGATAATATGTGGGGTATAGAGATGAGGTAGCCATTATGTTAAACAATATTATTGCACACAGAGTGAGTCCATGCAACTTATTATGTGGCTTGTTAGGCAGATTTTTACTCCTGAACTTATTTAGGCTTGCCATAAAAAAGCAGTTGAATACTTATTTTACATTTTAGTCATTTAGCAGACGGTCTTATCCAGAGCGACTTACAGTTAGTGAGTGCATACATAATTTTGTGTTATTTTTGTTATTATTTTTTTTCATACTGGCCCCCTGTGGGAAACGAACCCACAACCCTGGCGTTGCAAACGCCATGCTCTACCAACTGAGCTACATCCCTGCCGGCCATTCCCTCCCCTACCCTGGACGAATTGTGCGCCGCCCCATGGGTCTCCCGGTCACGGCCGGCTACGACAGAGCCTGGATTCAAACCAGGATCTCTAGTGGCACAACTAGCACTGCGATGCAGTGCCTTAGACCACTGCGCCACTCAGGACATTGACTGAAGACATTTCAGCTTTACATTTCTAAAAACATAACTCCACTTTTACATCATGGGTTATTGTGTGTAGGCCAGTGACAAAAAAAACTATATTTAATCAATTTTAAATTCAGGCTGTACACAACAAAATGTGGAAAAAGTCAAGGGGTGTGAATACTTTCTGAAGGCACTGTTTGTATGAGGGGAGACTGAGGCATCAAAATGGAATTGCGGTAGGCTGGATGATTGACCTATGACTAGTAGCATAAGCTGAAAGTTTCTGTGAAATACAGCACTCTTTGGAATTTAAAGATTCAATTTCTGCTCATCGTGTTTGCGTGATTGCAACTGATTGAGTATGTTACGAAAGAAGATAGACTTACCTCAAGTACAGATTGACGTTTTCAGCTGCTTGCTTATAGAGGCCCTCAAACTGGTCTCTGGCCCACTGCAAAGACATGACAGGGACACATGCTAGGTCTGATTTAATGTGGTTTTCATTTTAACCAGTCTGATGCACCCTTTTCATTTAGGCATGGTCTCAATCACCCTCAAAAGGCTTATCCATTCTGGGACAAGTTTGAGAGTTAAGAGTGTAAAAAGCTTTGCATTTTAGATGAGTCGTGTGTGTGAGGGATTAAGAGATAAGTGGAGTATGGATGGATGGACTGATTTAGGAGTTAGGAGTTAGGAGTTAGGAGTTAGTACTGTACTGTATGGATGGAGATGGAGGTCAAACCTAAGTTTAGTCAGCGTTGGGACAAAACGTTTGGGGTATGTTGACATAAGGTTAGCGTTGTAAGGTTATGCTCTGGATAGCTTGCCAGCCCCGTGCCAGTCAGCCAGCCAGCCAGCCAGTCAGTCAGTTAGTCAGTCAGAGAGCAGCCGTGTTTAAAGTGTGTTAAACGTAACGTGGATGGATGGCAGCACGTGGGGTAGAGGACTGCCATGGCCTAAACTCCTTTAATATGCTAGGATTCTAGAATGATGCTAGGATTCTAGAATGATGCTAAGATTCTAGAATGATGCTACAGCAGGTTGATAGGACAATGCTAAGTTGCTGAGATGATGCTAGGCTACAGGGATGCAGTCCAAAACACATACAATCAGACTGTGGTTCCATGCCTCACCTGCAGGGTGTGCTCTATGCGGTGAGGGAAGTTCTTCAGGGTGCACAGTGGGATGGCATTCTGGGAGCCTGTCTCGGCCAGTCCATAGGACTCAGTCAGGTGGGGAACTACCACTAGAGTATGGCCCTTACTACCCAGGGTACCCCCCTCCAGCATGGCTCTCTTGTGCTGGACACAGCGGCCATCCAGGTACACTCCTGTAGTGCACACACACACACACACACACACAGAAATAGTACAGAAATAGGAAAAAAATAGGAAAACAACAGGAACATCTAAAAGTCACAGAGCACATAAATGTATTTCGTAAATCGCTTTACATGTATTTTGTTATTCCCTAAAATACTATGTTGTCTGTCTGTCTGCCCCCCCCCCCCCCCCCCCCATGCGTTCCACAATCCCTCTGAGCCAGCAGCTATCTACAGGATCAGTTACATAATAACCTAACGTAGCAGGCGTAAAAGAAACGCCTGAAACTAAACTGAACAAAAATATAAACGCAACATGCAACAATTTCAAAGCTTTTACTGAGTTACAGTTCATTTAAGGAAAAGTCAATTGAAATAAATTCATTAGGCCCTAATCTATGGATTTCACATGACTGGGAATACAGATATGCATCTGTTGGTCACAGATACCTTAAAAAAAGGTAGGGGCGTGGATCAGAAAACCAGTCAGTATCTGGTGTGACCACCATTTGTCTCGTGCAGCGCGACACATCTCCTTCGCATCAGGCTGTTGATTGTGGCCTGTGGAATGTTTACCACTCCTCTTCAATGGTATATTCAAGTATATTGGCGGGAACTGGAACACGCTGTCGTACATGTTGATCCAGAGCATCCCAAACATGCTCTCTGTGCATTCAAATTGCCATCGATAAAATGAAATTGTGTTCGTTATCCGTTACTTAATGCCTGCCCAGTACCCTAACCCCACTGCCACTGCGCTCTGTTCACAACATTGACATCAGCAAACCGCTCGCCCACACGACGCCATACACGCTGTCTACCATCTGCTCGGTACAGTTGAAACCATGATTAATCCGTGAAGAGGACACTTCTCCAGTGTGCCAGTGGTCATCGAAGGTGAGCATTTTCCCACTGAAGTTGGTTACGACGCCGAACTGCAGTCAGGTCAAGACTGGTGAGGATTACGAGTACGCAGATGAGCTTCCCTAAGACGGTTTCTGACAGTTTGTGCAGAAATTCTTTGGTTGTGCAAACCCAGTTTCATCAGCAGTCTGGTGGCTGGTCTCAGATGAACCCGCAGGTGAAGAAGCCGGATGTGGAGGTCCTGGGCTGGTGTGGTTACACGTGGTCTGCGGTTGTGAGGCCCGTTGGACGTACTGCCAAATTCTCTAAAACGACGTTGGAAACAGCTTATGGTAGAGAAATGAACATTCAATTCTCTGGCAACAGCTCTGGTGGACATTCCTGCAGTCAGCATGCCAATTGCACGCTCTCTCAAAACATTTTAGAGTGGCCTTTTATTGTTCCCAGCACAAGGTGCACCTGTGTAATGATCATGCTGTTTAATCAGCTTCTTGATATGCCACACAGGTCAGGTGGATGGATTATCTTGGCAAAGGAGAAATGCTCACTAACAGGGATGTAAACAAATTTGTGCACAACATTTGAGAGAAATAAGCTTTTTGTACCTATGAAACATTTCTGGGATCTTTTATTTCAGCTCATGAAACATGGGACCAACAATTTACATGTTGCGTTTATATTTTTGTTCAGTATAGATCCCATACATACTGGTCTTCACCAGAAGAAAAAAACTGTCGGGGGAGGTTCTCTTCTGCACTGTTCAACCAATCCAGTAAATGTGGAGGAGGGGTTAAGGTGTGTGTGTGTTTTTCTCATTAATTTTGTCGCCCTGTTAACCTCCAAAAGAGGAAGCCGCGTCACAGGCTCTCTTTCCATTTTGTCTGATAAATGATGTAAATGTAAATGTAAATGTACTGACTGGCTTCCACGTTGTCCAGAGCTGCAGCCACTCCATCCAGGCCCATGAAGAAATTGTGCCCATAGACCTGCTCACTGTCTGGGTCCAGGCGGTTCTGGTGGGCTGTGATGTTCATGTTGGGGTTCATGACCCTGACCGCCTGGGCTGCTACCTCCGACTTCTGTCTCTGTGAAAGGAGAGGAAGAGGAGGAGGTCGGTGAGTGAAGGGGAAATCAGTCTCTCTTGATTAACTTCCCCTCTTTCCCCCATGACTTACTCAAAGTATAGGTGGAATACAAAGAGTAACCTGAAGAGGAAACACATAAACACTAAAACACAGAAACACTAAAACATAGAAACACTAAAACACAGAAACACTAAAACACAGAAACACTAAAACATAGAAACACTAAAACACAGAAACACTAAAACACAGAAACACTAAAACACTGAAACACTAAAACACTAAAACATTAAAACACTAAAACATAGAAACACTAAAACACAGAAACACTAAAACACAGAAACACTAAAACACTAAAACATAGAAACACTAAAACACAGAAACACTAAAACACTGAAACATTAAAACACAGAAACACTAAAACATTAAAACACAGAAACACTAAAACATTAAAACACAGAAACACTAAAACACAGAAACACTAAAACATTAAAACACAGAAACACTAAAACACAGAAACACTAAAACACAGAAACACTAAAACATAGAAACACTAAAACATAGAAACACAAAAACACAGAAACACAAAAACATAGAAACACTAAAACATAGAAACACTAAAACACAGAAACACTAAAACACAGAAACACTAAAACATAGAAACACTAAAACACAGAAACACTAAAACACAGAAACACTAAAACACTAAAACACAGAAACACTAAAACACAGAAACACTAAAACAATAAAACACTGAAGGCAGAAAGCGAGAAAATTAGTGGCAATGGTGGGAACTGGGACTGTAGGTGACAAAGAAAGTAGAGAAAACTGAGGGGAAGGGAAACCCAAATATTTACACAAGCGGCAAAGGAAATCGGGATATACATTAACTCATCATAGATGGGTCTGATACAGAAGTATCATGTATATTTCTACTTCTGAGAGACATCTGGAAGATGGTAAGAAAGCCAATGGCAAGCACTCGGCCACATTCAAATGCAGTGGAAAGGACACCTAAATCACCATGACTGTGGCATACGGTTACATACATTAGGTTTGGCTCACAGCCATTTAGTTATATCAAAAGTTTGCTGGTCACAATTTTTCCTAAGCACAATATGTCCTAACTATGTTCAGATTCAGCGCAGATAGAAATGTGCGTTTTCACCATTGGGGGTGTGTAAGGTTGGATGTGAGTGTGAGTGTGTGCATGCGTGTGTGTGTTTTTCTCATTTAATTCGTCTTGACTTGGCTGACTGGGCAGAAAAAACTAAATATAATAGGATCACGCTTTACAACCTGCCCAATCAGCAATATATCCCTGTTTATGGATGATAATGAAAATGTGATATGAACTGGAAGTAGATAAACATGTTGTTTTGTGAATGTGATTGATCAAGACACACACACACACATCACCTGTAGCACCCCGATGTGAAGCACAGATTACTTGTGAGCGAGTTGACTAATCATGAGACATGTATGTCTAAAAAACAGTAGTTTGTCCCTCTTTTCAACGCTTTTGTGTCAATATGTTTTGGTTAACTTGATCAAAAGTGATTGAAAAGTGCTGGGGCAAATGCCAGCTCACATCACGTCTGGCAGAATGAAAAAACTGAAACATAATAGAACCATCTGCAATATATCCTCCTGTTTATGGATGATGGTGTCAAACGTGATATGAACAGGAAGTAAGATATAAACTTGTCGTTTTGTGCATTTATCAATTATTAAGGGAATCTGTAAGAAACGTATCAGGATAACTACTGCACATATAGTTAACAATTGTTGAGAAACTTATCAGGATAAGTAGTTAATAATTGTTGGGAATTGGCAGTTGTTTCCTACCTGTAAAAAAGTGTTCCTCTTTCTCCATCTGAACAGAACCTACAGAAACTACCTGTGAAACACTCTATCAGGAAACTGTAACTATGGCGATAATGACCAACCTTCTGCTTCTAAGTGGTGCCTTTGCACTGGGCGATACAAAGTCCTTGATGGAGGCCAACCTGGACCAGCTCCCTGCTTTTGAACCCATACCGGAGATCAATGGTGAATGTATTCCTCATATGCAGGAGATGGGTGGTGAGAGTAACAGCACTGAACAGAGCCCAGGTCTCCAGATGTTTGAGGAAATGTATTCTGTTCAGGATCCGGCTGATGTGAATGACCTGGAAACTCTGGAGCCCTCAGTAGAGATGGATGGAGAGCAGGGCTTGTATCTGGAGGCTTTTCAGGGAACAGGGGAGAGGGTGGAGGGGACAGATGGCAGGAGCGGATGTCCCTCTGGCTGTTCCAAATACGGATCCCGCTGCTTCAGGTACATCAGCACTGAAAGGACATGGGCCGAGTCTGAGCAGTTCTGTGTGTATCAGGGAGCCAACCTGGCATCCGTCCACAGCACAGCAGAATAACATTTCATACAGGAGATGGTGATGATACAAACTGGGGGATTTCCTCGCACCTGGATTGGAGGTTATGATCTTGCTCAGGAAGGCATATGGCTCTGGAGTGATGGGTCCAGATTTGAGTTTACCAACTGGAGCAAAGGACAGCTGGACAACTACCAAGGCAACCAAGACTGTTTGTGGTTTAATTTTGGAGCTGAAAAACGCTGGGATGATGTAACCTGTAGTGCAAGGTTTCCCTCTGTATGTTCTAGAAAACTGTGATCTCTTGCCTGTGAGTCAGATTAATATCTATTTCTCTTTTGTATGGTTGCAGCTGGGGCGGCAGGTAGCTTAGTGGTTAAGAGCGTTGTGCCAGTAACCGAAAGGTCGCTGGTTCTAAACCCAGAGCTGACTAGGTGAAAAATCTGTTGATGTGCCCTTGAGCAAGGCACTTAACCCTAATTGCTCCTGTAAGTCGCTCTGGATGACTTAAATGTTAGCAAATCTGTACAAACTTGTTTTCATGATTAACAGAGAAACACACTCAATATAAATTATACTTTCTGTCTCTCCTTCACTGCATTTGTCATTAATAATGACTTTGTCACAAATAAATGATCAGTTCCATCTTAAAAAGGAAAATGTGTTGAAAATGAATAAAAATAATTCTACAACATAAAAGGCATCTGTGAATTTCAATATCTAGTAAGCATTTTGAGAATTGTGTTTGTCTTTAGAATTGCTTCTCTCTTACCCCAATATCTTGAGACCTGAAGAGAAATTGTCGGTTTAGATTGGACCTCTCTATGGAGTCCATGTCGGTCACAGTGATGTGCCCACCCTCTCCGGCACCCAGGCCAATCAGAGCAAAATTCTTGAGAAGTTCACAACCTATAGCGCCAGCCCCAACCTAATGACACATTATGACAGAAGACATGTTAGAAAACAAATAAAATAGAACAAATCAATTCACCCCAAGCTGCATTCATCTACTGTATAAATATCACTTCATCAACACATTTGTCATAGTATATGCCATGCCATTTTTTGCATATCAGAGGGTATTGAGACTTTCAATCCAACACTCTCTGGTGGAAACAGAACTGGTGAGAGTGCAATAACACATGCACAAACTCACACGCACACACACAAACAAATAAAAGCTAGCATAACACTTGCAAAGGAAGCCTGGTGAGTGAGGGCTTGGCAGGACCAAACGCTAACAGGAAATGCCACCTGAATAACAGCCGTTTCCTGCATGTGTCATTATCAACACTAGCAGGCGTGACCAGAGGGAAAGAATGACGCTGCGGCCTGTTTGGCCATGCAGAGGGCACCCCCTGCTGGTGAGAGATGAGAAGACAAGGAACTACTTCTCACAAGGAAATACTTCTGTTCACCAAGCCTCTCCTGGAAGCCTGATCCAAACACAGCAGTCTGCCCGTCATACCGGGAGCCTCTCTGCAACAGAGACAGTAGAGCAGTGGTGAGTGCAGCCAGGCAGGGAAAAAATATCCACCAACACATGCCAATGGATAATTTTCCTGACAAATAAAACATGGCTTCCTAAGGCTACATGAATGATTCTTTATGGGGGGGTGGATAGTTATCGATAGCTAGCTATTGGCTGATATTATATATTAGTTTATTTTAATATATATTTGCTGATATTCATATTTTAATATATTATATTATGTATTCAAATCTTACTGGTGAACATGTGCTCTCTGTCAGTTGCTCTCCCTCTCCACCGTTGTCCTCAGGAAGGCACTCCAGTGCATCAAAGTATAGCCACTGCTGAAGAGGGGTGAACTTCCCAGTGCAAGCCTATAGGGACGCCAAATATGAACATCAGTCACACAGGCAAACATATCAACAGTATGAACCATACAACACATCACAGGCACTTCACTATCCCTGGCAGTGCTTTCAGGAGTACAGAAACCGTAGCAGTCTGCTTGTAAAGGTGTTATAAATGCATTATTCTACCGAGGGGCTTGCCTAGGAGATCATAGGGCAGCTTTGAATTATTGGGACTGCAAGCCCTTCATATTTCTTTAGTGCCTAAATGTGTTGAATACCTATGACTGTTGACCTCACCTTCATGACTTCTTGGGCGGCCAGCCCTCCGATGAAGGCGTTAACAGGGGCCAGGTCACCACAGGCAGTGAAGGACAGACTCTGCACCACACCTTCATCTAACTCATCCAGCTGGGACACCATATTCATCTTTGTCACCATGGCTACCAGTTGCTCAGCATCCGACTGTAGGGGATGGATGGGCAGCCGGCTCCATAGTAAGACAGAGCATGACCAGTTTCTTTAGGGATTCTATCCAACTTGAGCTACTGGTTCAAATATATTTCACAGATTCTAAAGATGCTTTCTTAGCCTACTGAACATCACAAAATGTGGTGAGACAGGCAAATACATTATGATGTCATAAGATTTCTTCTACCAATACATGAATGTTCCATACCAGAAAAAGTAATGTTATTTTGTATTGTCTGTCACTGACCTGGGACCTGGGCTTAGGCAGTCGTCCCACTCTCTTCACAAAGCCATGCAGGGCTTGGAAGGCCAGGTGCAGTGTCTGGTGCTTCCTCATCTTCCCATAGTCAGTCATTACTAGTAACTCAGGGTCAACCAAGGCCTCGTCCAGGGGTTTCTGTAACAAGTACGGCAAGTATAGGCATAAAGTAAGCATAGTGAACTGAGTGCAATGTCATTGAAAGCCATATTGGTTAAGGTTGGCTTTCCATATGATACAGCAAATATCCGAATATTATTCTTGGGATAGATTAATGCCTAGCCGAACATAATTCATTTGATAAAATTATGCAATAATACTTACAAATGTTAGTATTTTAGACTTTTTGACCTCAGTTGCTACACCGCCTTTCTCATACTCAGAAAAGCTTGAGGTGTCACAAATACTGAAGGAATCAGGGCCTGGCAATGAAAGAACATGTCACAATTTACACACACATCATAGTGTATGAATCATCATATTAATTTACATTTTGTCCATATTAAATGTCATCACCACCACTGTCATGCCATTTCCTGTCATGTATTTAAAAACATATTTAAAGTAGCTTAGATATGCCTCATATTTCAACAATTATATAATATTAAAAAAGGAGATGTAATTTCTAGAGAAACGAAAGTGGAAGTATCTTTATACTAAACAAGTTTTACAGGTGGCACTTATGGGGCAAAGTACATTTTCTGCATTCTTGTTCTAAACATTTCGGATGTTTTTCCCCTGTGAATAAGAACTCACTCAGGAATTTGATGTCCACTGGTCCATAGCTATTGAGCTCTGTCATGCCATACACTTCAGAGAGGGACACACTGCTGCCATTTACAAAGCCATGCCTCTGTTCAATGCACGTGACCACTCCAGGATCAGCCTACAGATGCGAGAGAAGAATGTATAATAGTGTTTCTTTGCTCTATGATGTTGTCCACTGACATACTGTATGCACAGGTATAACATGCAAATGCCACCATCTTCAATAGTTAAGGAAAGCATTAAATACCTTGGTGATATGATCTATCATGGCTGATCCAGGTGTCTCCCCATCAGTGTCCAAGACCTCAAACTCCTCCCCAAAGTCACAGAATAACTGACTGCAATAGAATTAAAAAAATAACCATTGGGGAACTGAAACAGCTATGCATCACTCATATCTACTATGGAGGAGGACTCTTATAGGAGAGGTTATTATTGGTTAAAGTAGAGATGGTGTGTCACCCTCCTCACCCACAAAGTCCTTTGGTATCAGCCACAATTAACTTGATACCATTTGAATGACAAAACGTCCCAAAACGCTGCTGGTCATCCAGAGAGGAGTCAGTCAGCACCACCACCTGGGAAAACAAATAAGATAAGTTCTCACCTTTAATGTTACTGCTGTACCTAGGGTTGAAAAAATCTGGTCAGTTTCCTGAAAATTCCCAGGTTTTCCAGAAATCCTGTTTGGAGATTCCGGGATTTCCTGCCTATTCCCTCCTGATCCGGCAATCTTCCAACCGGGTTTTCTGGAAAACCAGGGAATTTTGCGAACGTTACCAGATTTTTGCAACCCTATCTGTACCCTGTATGGCTAGTCAAGAGAGAGAGTGGGTAAACTCAAGGCAGGATTCAGGGTTCAGCCCTACCTGGAATTGTTGCAGCAGGGACTCCTTCAGTGGCCCAGTTTGGGCAGACACATGGACATGGGGGTTAAGGGCAGACAGCTGAGGTTGGGAACTCAGGGCTCGGTTCTGACCAAGGTGAGACGGTAGCAGGAAAAACTGGAGGGGAAACATTGGGGTTCAGGAGTAGTTCGACAAAATAACATCTGATCTGAGTTAACATTTTCAGAATGTTATACGCCCCTGTATTCCTATTTCCTCCCTGTAATATCAGGTGCTAAAAAGTTACAGAGATGGCAGTGTGATGGAGACAGCCTAACGTGGATTGCTCCCTCTAAATAGTTGCACACATTTTACTGTCCATGTTCCATCTTCAAATTAAGTATGAATCATTAGCAGTGTAGCCAACTCCTCTGTAAGGAAAGTAGCTATTGGCTGTCCTAAAAGTCACTAAATGACGTCATCACATAATTTGCATAATTTGCCATGTGCATGTAATTGTGATGGGCGCTTTAGGAGAGAGGAATAACGTCGTGGGAGAGACAAAAAGTGAGTAAAAAACACCCTACATTTACATCCCACCCTGAATGTAAGTCAGGGCGGGATCAGCCAGCGGCGGCTTCCCGCATGCGCGATTCATTTGCAGTCTGGACGCGGAGGGGTGAACATCTCCTGCTCTGACTGCAGCTGGGAGGGACTGCAGCTGGGAGGGACTGCTGCACGAGGACTGGGCCGCCTGTGAGTGCTTTGGGACGGGGGTAACAAAGCACCAGCTGCTCGTTGAGAAGAGTAAGAACGATACGTGCTTTCACGTCAGAGTCTCCAATAACACCAGAAAAAGTCGCTAGATTTGTTGCTAGTCGCTTTTTTTGAAAATGTGTCGCTAGAGGGGTCTGAAAACTCACTAAATATAGCGACAAAGTCGCTAAGTTGGCAACACTGATCATTAGGCAGGTTTCTATTGACTTAGGTTGATTCGACAAAAGCGGCAGATATAGGAGACATTTTTATGGATTTTTCTTTTGTCTAACTTTATTGCGACAAATGATGATGGAAACTGTTTTAACAAATAAATTAATAATGATTTGCAAATAATTTTGAAAGTATGCGGGGCACGTGATGTCATCACGTAACTATAATGCTCCAATCCACATTTATGCTAATTCTTAATGACTACTGCTTGCAAAATAAAAAATGTCAACTATAAAAAGAATGTTTATTTGCAGGACAAGGATTGTCCTGATATTCAATAATGCCTTGCCAGAAGATACTGACCCTACCGTTGCACTTGTTTACACTGAGATGCACTGGGGTCGGAAGGCAATCATGGTTACATTAAGACACTGTGGAGCCGGCACAAGATATGGGTTGGAAAACGTACCTCAATGCAGGGATGGGATATGCCACTGTACTCCAAATGTTACCTTTATCCACACTGATACATTGAGAAGATTGAAATATTTCAATTTATCCTGGGAAACTGCCCTTTTCGTCCTCATGCTAGCTAGCAGTAGCCACAGCAGCCGTTTTGGAATGGCAGTGTCAGCCAATCAGCTCCTTTGTTGCCATTCCATAAAGGCTGCTTTTCTGACCACAAATCAAATCAAATGTTATTTGCCACATGTGCCGAATACAACAGGTGTAGACATTACAGTGAAATGCTTACTTACAAGCCCTTAACCAACAATGCAGTAAAAAAAAAAAAAAAGTGTTAATAAAAAAAAAAAAAAGCAAATAACTAATGAGCAGCAGTAAAATAAAATAACAGTAGGGAGGCTATATACAGGGGGGTACCGGTACAGAGTCAATGTGTGGGGGCACCAGCTAGTCGAGGTATTTGAGGTAATAAGTACATGTGGGTAGAGTTAAATGCATAAATAATAAACAGAGTAGCAGCAGCGTAAAAGAGGGGGATGGGGTGGGGTTGGGGGGCAGTGCAAATAGTCCGTGTAGCCATGATTAGCTGTTCAGGACCTATATCTTGCGCTAGCGCCATGATGTCTTAATGTAACCATGCATGAATTGCTTCGCCTTGCTTCCCCTTCTGGTTGGCTGGATGCAAGTTTCACCATCCAATTATTTCAGATCTACAAGAGTGCAAATTTCACCATGGCACATGAGAATTCTTAGAATTTGGCAAATATGAGTAGATTCTTGCATTCGATCCGTGAAACAGATAGGTGGGAGGGCATACAGGCTGTTGCCAATTGAATGGGTATTGGAAACACTTCAATCACTTCATTTCTATTCGACACTGTAGGTTTTTGCATATATATATATATATATATATATATACAGTGGGGAAAAAAAGTATTTAGTCAGCCACCAATTGTGCAAGTTCTCCCACTTAAAAAGATGAGAGAGGCCTGTAATTTTCATCATAGGTACACGTCAACTTTGACAGACAAAATGAGGAAAAAAAATCCAGAAAATCACATTGTAGGATTTTTTATGAATTTATTGGCATATGATGGTGGAAAATAAGTATTTGGTCAATAACAAACATTTCTCAATACTTTGTTATATACCCTTTGTTGGCAATGACACAGGTCAAACGTTTTCTGTAAGTCTTCACAAGGTTTTCACACATTGTTGCGGCTATTTTGGCCCATTCCTCCATGCAGATCTCCTCTAGAGCAGTGATGTTTTGGGGCTGTCGCTGGGCAACACAGACTTTCAACTCCCTCCAAAGATTTTCTATGGGGTTGAGATCTGGAGACTGGCTAGGCCACTCCAGGACCTTTAAATGCTTCTTACGAAGCCACTCCTTCGTTGCCCGGGCGGTGTGTTTGGGATCATTGTCATGCTGAAAGACCCAGCCACGTTTCATCTTCAATGCCCTTGCTGATGGAAGGAGGGTTTCACTCAAAATCTCACAATACATGGCCCCATTCATTCTTTCCTTTACATGGATCAGTCGTCCTGGTCCCTTTGCAGAAAAACAGCCCCAAAGCATGATGTTTCCAACCCCATGCTTCACAGTAGGTATGGTGTTCTTTGGATGCAACTCAGCATTCTTTGTCCTCCAAACATGACGAGTTGAGTTTTTACCAAAAAGTTATATTTTGGTTTCATCTGACCATATGACATTCTCCCAATCCTCTTCTGGATCATCCAAATGCACTTCAGACGGGCCTGGACATGTACTGGCTTAAGCAGGGGGACACGTCTCGCACTGCAGGATTTGAGTCCCTGGCGGCGTAGTGTGTTACTGATGGTAGGCTTTGTTACTTTGGTCCCAGCTCTCTGCAGGTCATTCACTAGGTCCCCCCGTGTGGTTCTGGGATTTTTGCTCACCGTTCTTGTGATCATTTTGACCCCACGGGGTGAGATCTTGCGTGGAGCCCCAGATCGAGGGAGATTATCAGTGGTCTTGTATGTCTTCCATTTCCTAATAATTGCTCCCACAGTTGATTTCTTCAAACCAAGCTGCTTACCTATTGCAGATTCAGTCTTCCCAGCCTGGTGCAGGTCTACAATTTTGTTTTTGGTGTCCTTTGACAGCTCTTTGGTCTTGGCCATTGTGGAGTTTGGAGTGTGACTGTTTGAGGTTGTGGACAGGTGTCTTTTATACTGATAACAAGTTCAAACAGGTGCCATTAATACAGGTAATGAGTGGAGGACAGAGGAGCATCTTAAAGAAGAAGTTACAGGTCTGTGAGAGCCAGAAATCTTGCTTGTTTGTAGGTGACCAAATACTTATTTTCCACCATAATTTGCAAATAAATTCATTAAAAATCCTACAATGGGATTTTCTGGAATTTTTTTTCTCAATTTGTCTATCATAGTTGACGTGTACCTATGATGAAAATGACAGGCCTCTCTCATCTTTTTAAGTGGGAGAACTTGCACAATTGGTGGCTGACTAAATACTTTTTTTCCCCACTGTATATATATATATATATATATTTTTTTTAAAGAAACGTCCCTTTTTCAGGACCCTGTCTTTCAAAGATAATTTGCAAAAATCCAAATAACTTCACAGATCATTATTGTAAAGGGTTTTAACACTGTTTCCCATGCTTGTTCAATGAACCATAAACAAATAATGAACATGCACCTGTGGAACGGTCGTTAAGACACTAACAGCTTACAATTAAGGTCACAGTTATGAAAACTTAGGACACTAAAGAGGCCTTTCTACTGACTCTGAAAAACACCAAAAGAAAGATGCCCAGGGTCCCTGCTCATCTGCGTGAACGTGCCTTAGGCATGCTGCTAGGAGGCATGAGGACTGCAGATGTGGCCAGGGCAATACATTGCAATGTCCGTACTGTGAGACGCCTAAGACAGCGCTACAGGGAGACAGGACAGACAGCTGATTGTCCTCGCAGTGGCAGACCATGTGTAACAACACCTGCACAGGTATATCCGAACATCACACCTGCGGGACAGGTACAGGATGGCAACAACAACTGCCCACCTTACACCAGGAACGCACAATCCCTCCATCAGTGCTCAGACTGTCCGCAATAGGCTGAGAGAGGCTGGACTGAGGGCTTCTAGGCCTGTTGTAAGGCTGGTCCTCAACAGACATCACCGGCAACAACGTCGCCTATGGGCACAAACCCACCATCGCTGGACCAGACAGGACTGGCAAAAAGTGCTCTTCACTGACGAGTCGCGGGGTCCGTCATGGTCTGGGGCGGTGTGTCACAGCAACATCGGACTGAGCTTGTTGTCATTGCAGGCAATCTCAATGCTGTTCGTTACAGGGAAGACATCCTCCTCCCTCATGTGGTACCCTTCCTGCAGGCTCATCCTGACATGACCCTCCAGCATGACAATGCCACCAGCCATACTGCTCATTCTGTGCGGGATTTCCTGCAAGACAGGAATGTCAGTGTTCTGCCATGGCCAGTGAAGATACCGGATCTCAATCCCATTGAGAACGTCTGGGACCTTTCCCCCCAGGAATGTCTGGGAATTTGCAGGTGCCTTGGTAACATCTCACAGCAAGACCTGGCAAATCTGGTGCAGTCCATGAGGAGGAGATGCACTGCAGTACTTAAAGCAGCTGGTGGCCACACCAGATACTGACTGTTGCTTTTGATTTTGACCCCCCCCCCCCCTTTGTTCAGGGACACATTATTCCATTTCTGTTAGTCACATGTCTGTGGAACTTGTTCAGTTTATGTCTCAGTTGTTGAATCTTGTTATGTTCATACAAATATTTACACATGTTAAGTTTGCTGAAAATAAATGCAGTTGACAGTGAGAGGACGTTACTTTTTTTTGCTGAGTTTATGTTCAAATAATGTTTATCCTAATCAATGTCTGCTTTAGACATTATTGTGAATGTATTATGGTGTTTCGCCAGTTTATATAATTTTACTGATTGTAAATAAATTTGTCCCCCTAGATTGTGGGCTACATTGGTATGTTCCAAGGTGTGGCCATGGAGGAGATCCTATACACTGAGTGTACAAAACATTAGGAACACCTTCCTAATATTGAATTGCACCCAGTGGAGGCTCCTCATAGGAGGAAGGGGAGGACCATCCTCCTCAGTGCATTTCATAAAAATAAAAATAGTGAAACAATACAAAAGTTATCCTTTTTAGATAAAACTATACTAAATATATTCACATCACCAAATAATTGATTAAAACACACTGTTTTGCAATGAAGGTCTACAGTAGCCTCAGCATCACTCAGTGGGGTAGCACCATGGTGACAGCTAGCTTCTGTCCTCATCTGGGTACATTGACTTCAATACAAAACCCGGGAGGCTCATGGTTCTCACCCCCTTCCATAGACTTACACTGTAATTATGACAACTTCCGGAGGACGTCCTCCAACCTATCAGAGCTCTTTCAGCATGAACTGACATGTTCTCCACCCAGTCAAACGATCAGAGAATGAATCTAGTACTGAAAGCATAAGCTATTTTCCTATATGCAGATGATTCTGCACTGTTGGTTTCCCACAAAGCCAAAAAAGTGGTTGAGAAAGCCCTCGGTGCTGAACTTGTGAATGTCAGTAAATGGTTATATGACAATAAGCTGTCACTTCACCTTGGAAAAACAGAGTCCATCTTGTTCGGGTCCGAGGTGAAACTGAGGAAATCCCCTGATTTTAAGGTGGTAGTAGGTGACATAGTAGTCGAAGCAAAATACTCTGTTAAGTATCTTGGATGTGTGCTAGATAACCATCTGACAGGGGAGAGCATGGCACAAAATGTTATCTCCAAAGTGAACCATAAAATTAGGTTTCTGGCAAGAACCTCCAAATATCTGGATAAGAATGCAATGGGGACATTGGCAGGGGCTCTTGTTCAGTGCGACATTGACTATGAATGCTCTTCCTGGTACAATAGTGCCCCCAAGATAATAACAAATAAATTGCAGACATCTCAGAACAAATTAGTCAGGATTATTCTTAAACTTCCAGCACTTACGCATCTTGACTATTCCCACTTTGAAAGCCTTAGATGGCTCAAAGTGAAGGAGAGAGTCGCTCAGATTAAATTGTGTCTTGTACATAAGATTGTCCACAGTATGGTCCCCAGGTACCTATGAAACTACTTTAACTTAGTAAGGGATAACCATAACTATTCCACTAGAAGGAGGGAAACTGACATTGTTCCTTTTAGATTTAAAAGTGGTATGGGGAAATACACTTTTTTATACTCAGCTGCCATTCTTTGGAATAGTCTTCAGAAGAATTTGAAACTTATAACTGCCATAGGTAGTTTCAAGTTCTCAATGAAAAAATGGCTAAATAGTAGCATGTCTCAAAAGTGAGATTATAGTACGTGCCTGAGAAGGAAATACCCGGGATAGCATATGGTCTGCCTTTTGGTGCCTGTTGTTTATTATATGGTGATTGTCTTGTATATTTTAGGTATTGATTGTTTTATATATTAAGGGTATGTGAGACAAGGGAGATGTACCTGTCCATAGTTGTGTATTAGGAAAGAAAATTGTACTAATTATCTCATGTTATGAAACAAACAACACATTTTGTCTGTCATTGTCTGCTGCCATTACAATTACCACCTAACCTTGTTGCATTCCCCGTTCCCCCTTCCCTCTTCAAAAGGAGCACAATGGAAATAAGCTGTTAAGCTTTATTGTGTTATCCTTGATGATTTTCTTAAATTGTATGTGGAGGCGTCACCGGCTGGAGCACCCTTATGTATGTATTTTACAAATTGTCAAATAAATTCAATCAATCAATCAACCTACAGCTAGCTAGCACTGCAGTGCATAAAATGTAGTGAGTAGTTGACTCAAACACAGCTGATGTGTTGTGCACTGAAGTGCAAAAGTGAAGGGAAAAGGTGAGAGGAGGAGAACGCGTAGATAGATGCGAGAAGGAATTATTTATACAACAAGCTGTTTGTATGTGTCACTGTCTGTCACCTTGATTACTCAAAATTCTCTCAACCTGTGCACCTACGTTGTAAACTTTCATTCATAGGCTAGGTTGTAGCAACCTCATGATGGATACAGGGAAAATGTGAGTATCGTATAGTAGCCTAAACCTATCGATGTTAAATTAAGCTGGGTGAATGGAATATGAATGACAGTCATCCAATATGCTGTAATAGAAATACAAATAAAAAAAATCTTCCCTCATTTAAACGGCACCGACCACCACTGGGTGCACCCCCTTCTGCCCTCAGAACAGACTCAATTCATCAACTCCACCTGTGCCAAGTCATTTTGGCAGGAATGCCTGCTTAGGCCTACTAGTCTCTTTCAGTGTTTTGTTTGTTTTAACAGTCTTTTTGTAAATGTTTTGATCATTTCTTGAACCCTTGAACAGTATTACAATATAACAGGGTTACTCTTTGACATAGGTAGCCTACCTGTGAGGAGAGGTCCATCCACTCAGTCAGTCCCTCATCCTGCACAGTGACGGATTTCACTCCGGAGAGGATGACATTCTTGGCGATCTCCACCCCTAGACCCCGCATCCCTGCGATGAGGACATTAGCTGTCCCCATGCGACGCATCGCCTCATGACCCAACACATACCTGCCACACAGTGCCCAAAAGACAAGACTGTTACTAGATGCCAAGGTTATTATAGTAAACTTGAAACTAAAACAAAAAATTATCATGATTTTTTTTTGGTGAACTGAAATAAAATAATGAACAAACCCTTTTCAAAAACGTTAACTATATTGAAACTATTACCTTAGACTCCAAAACTAACTAAATGTATGTTCCGTTTCATTTTTTTTCTAAACTTTGAGCAAAAATCTAATGGGGTTTTCAATGGGGTTTTCAGGCTTTTTGGATGTGGGTATCGGGTCTGAATCTGGCGGGGAAGTGCTGCCTGGAGACGGTAATGTTTCAAATAGGCCTGTGCATCATTATCACTAGCTATCACTACAGGTACAAAATCGCCACTAAAGTTACTAAAGTTAAAAAGCATTGGATTGGTGTAAACATGGGTGAGAGAGTTTCCTTCCACCATATTTTTTGCACCATTCTCAGGGTCGTCACTAGTTCACTTAGCCACAGTCATAATTATGGCTAAACACCGCCCATTCTATTAACAGATACCCATAGACTTTCAGTCATTGCGCTAATGCTAGTTAGCATTGGCTCACGAAACTACGCTGTACCTCTAACCTCTAACTTCCTTCATACTGGACACAGAGAGATAAAAATGGTATCCACAAGTTTATCTGACCCTGGGGAAGTAGATAATGGGCCTCATTGCCAAAACCCCTAAGTATCCCTTTAACCCTAACATTAACTACACTGCTAACCTCATGCCTAACCCTAACCTTAAATTATGACTAAAAAGCTCATTTTTGTAGCCAATTTTGACTTTGTGGCTGTGTTATCCAGTGGGAACCCAGTCTCTGCACTATTCCTTTTAAATCCAAGTCACATCGACTTTAAAGTGTAAACCTAACCTAACCTATGACCTTACCCATCACCTTATGTATTACTGCCCCCAGTTGCAAGAAGTGACATCCCAAAAACACCACAGCCACAAAGTCAGATTCCACAGTCACAAAGTCAGAATTGCCTACAAAAATTCGCTTTTTGGTCTTAATTTAAGGTTAGGGTTAGGCATAAGGTTAGCAGTGTGGTCAAGGTTAGGGCTAAGGTTAGGGCTACAACTGAAACCAAATAAGATAAAAAACGAAATTGAAATATGTTTTATACTAACTGAAAATAAACTGAATTTCAAATAAAAATAGAAAAACTAATAGAAATAAAAACTAATAGAAAAACACAAAACTATGATAACCTTGCTAGATGCATGTCAATTGTCAAATTCTAGTTTGCTTTGGGCATGACAGTAGGCTATACTTACAGCTGTCGCGAGTAAAAGCCCTCGTCGATATCATTGCTTTCAGACATGTTCTGGAAATGGTCTAGTCTACAGCCTAACGTTTTAATTTGTAAACGGTTGGGGATAATTCCGTTTTCTTTCTATTGTGCAGAGCCGAACTGTTGCCTAGTCAAGTTTCTTCCTGAACAGAGTTTAGAACAAGAATGCAGAAAATGTACCTTGCCCCACGAGAGAAACCTGTAAACTATTTTAATAAAACGATTCTTTCACTTTCGCTTTTCTCCAAATGACGTCATCACCTCTATCACTATTAGGTTATCATAGTGGTAATAGTAGGCATATCGCTGCTGCTTTGAATATATTTTAAAATGTATAAAGCAGTTACTAGAAAATACTGTACATTAGCAGGTTAGCCTAAACACCTATGGGATTAAAATGATGACAGAACTACGCGATTTTGTATTTTGAATGTCGTGGTAGCACATTGAGATTCGTGGTTGCAAGTATGATTCGAAAATGTGTCATTTAATTTTGCAAGCTTGTATCATGATCTGTGAAAGATTTAACAACGGTCGCAAACTTGTAACTTGACATTTGAATACATTCAATAAGATTTGCAAGTATAATTTAAATCCATTTACGAGTATGAATATTCTGCTGTGAATCAAAATACACTTGCAGATTTTGAATCTGCGCGCCCTCGGAGTTCTGTCACTGTTGTAACATTACGAAGAGACTCATAAACTTGTAAAACGTTTTGTAAATGTGTAGAAATAGATTCGCAAATGAAAATGTGATTTGTATGTCAGGATATCTTTCTCCTGACCCATCAGTTCCCTCTACCAAAACCACAACCGCCTAACCATTGGCTGAATATTTCCATCAATCAAATCTCAGGCAGTAGCTCCCGACATGGCTTGTTCTGCCCACTGTGCTTTTTTTGCTCCAACTGTGAACGACACAGATGAACGGCTAGACATGGCAACCCTGCCCAGCTGCTGAGATGAGGTGGCCCGGGGAGACGGCTGAAGCAGAAGTGTCGTTTGAAATTGAAAGCACGTCGAGTACAGTTAGCGAGAAAGATGAGTGGACAACAGTGAAGTCCAAGAATGAAACAAAAAGGGCAAAAATTGTTGTGGAAAATGAGTACGTTTTTTGGAGAAGGATGTTTATTTGGGAAACCCTTTTGAAGTCACGAGGATGGTGAAGAAGGCGTTGGGAAAAGTGGATGCAGTCAAAGTAACCAGGAGTGGTATGGTGTTGATATCATAGTAACCAGGAGTGGTATGGTGTTGATATTGTATGTATCTGAAGAACAAAAGGAGCGTGCATTGAGGCTCGCAAAATTATCGAAGTATGAAGTGGACAGCTTTGATTTTCGGAGCAGGGCAGCGGTAAAATGTGTTATCTCTGGCGTCCCGTTGGACATTGATAATCAATATCTTAGGCAAAAAATTCCAGGAGCAGTTAATGCACGTCCCTTGAACCGTATAGAGAATGGGGGAAAAGGAGCAAAGTTTATCTGTATTATTGACGTTTGATGAGTATTTACCACCCTATGTAAAGTTGGGATATATAAGATACGCCATAAGTGTTCGTGCAAAACCCGATGCAATGCAAGAAGTGTCAAAAGTTTGGCCATGTGTCAAGTGTTTGCAGACGGAAGGAATATGTTATTGAAGAGTCTGTGAATGTAAAATGTTGCAACTGTGGTGGGGATCATATTTACGAATTCCATGAGTGCCCTGTTAGGGTGAAAGAGGTTGGGGTGTCAAGGGTCAGGGCTGTACAGAACATCTCCTATGTGGAGGCGGTGAAGAGAGTTGAAGGGCAAGAGGCCACAGTTCTGAAGAAGATATGGCTGCGGATGCACCACAACCAGTTGCAAATGTTATAAGTCAATCAAGTGATCTTGATACACTTATTGTGAAGAAGGTGGATTTTGTAGCATTTATAGCCACTGTTGGGATTTGTTTTCTCATAATTGGATCTGTATGTGATGAATAGCTTAGAAGGAATGCATTAATGATAAGCATAGAAGGTTTGTACTATACTGATATAAATTGTTTCACATAACAGGCTGTGATTCATGTAAGGAACGTTAGGGGGTAGGACAGATAAGACTTGTATTTCTTACAGATACGAACACTGCCTCTTTGTTGTCTGTGAACCGTTGTCTGTGAACCGTCCTTGAACTAGGTACTCACAGTACAGTACAGTGGAATGGTGTCTTTTGGGTGCTAACTCCACAGGTTGTGATGAAAACAACTAGACACCTGGCAACAGGGATGCGCCAAGGGGCTGGGACCAGCCGGTGCGCCAACGGATAGGCTGAGTAAGTCTAAACCACGCTCAGTCTCTACTCTGATTGGCCAGCAGAGAGTGGGAACTATCTCTGTCAGAGTATTTGAAGAAGAACCTGTAACAATGGATTAGTTCTCTGTCTGCCCTGCGTGGTATTTCAGTGAGCCCGTATACGAACCAACATACTTATCATACATACATTTAGCATATAATACATTTAGCTTGGATTGAATATCTCTTGATTATGTTTTCTCTTATTCCAATACCAGATTTGAATTACGCAATTCCTAACACCACAGTTATTAATTGTACTGCACAAGTGTCCAAGAAGTTGGACATTATTATATCTGCAGCCAAGAAGCTTTTGGGTCTCCAAGACTTAATGGCAGAAGCACTGCAAGGGCTACTGTCGCCAGGAAATGTCCCGCCAACACAGGATCGTTCTGAGCCTGTCGAGGGACCTGATTTAAAACAGAAAAGCAGGATGATTTTAGTTTAATTAATATTTCGTTATTGATCATTTATATGGATTTTTTTATTTAATATTATTCGTATTCTTATTTTTTTACCCGCATTTTTCCCTTTTCGTATCTTTATTATCCACCTGTCAAGTAGGTGGCGGATTGCAAATATAATTGTTGCGAACGCCATTATACCAAAGAAGAAGAAGAAGCTAGGGCGGCAGGTAGCTTAGTGGTTAAGAGCGTTGTGCCAGTAACCGAAAGGTTGCTGGTTCTAATCCCCGAGCCGACTAGGTGAAATCTGTCGATGTGCCCTTGAGCAAGGCACTTAACCCTAATTGCTCCTGTAAGTCGCTCTGGATAAGAGCGTCTGCTAAATGACTAAAATGTAAATGTAAGCTCCCCATGAGAGGATGAGGTAAATGAAACCAAAACGATCTACTTGAAAGTAATCGTGTCTTTTATCTGTGTTCATCAATCTTTTTTTTTGTGGAAAGGCATGACAGTAATTTGCTTATCATGTAAAATATAATGGTAGATTTCAGACGAACTCCAGACCAGCCACATTGCATTGACAGTCGCTATTGCTTTAGCTAGCTGGCCTCTGACATTCACCCTAGCTTTACTATCAACTGGCTAGCTTTATCAGGCAGCTTTATATTTGCTAGTTAGTTAACCATCTGATTAATGAAGTTGATTATACATGCCATTAACTAGCTAGATAGCTCAATTGAAACTGCTGGGGGAAAGCTAGCTAGCTAGCAAACTCCCACCTTCATCACTGCAGTGCAGCTAATGTTAGCTAGGTTTCTAGAAGAAAAATATACATATATTGGATGCTATATTTTAAAGACTTGTTACTGACTTTTGAACACTTGTCAAATTACTTCATTCCACTGTCTGTTTATTGATTAATTGGTGACTGAAAAAGTTGGCAAGAAAAATGCCCCTCCCAATTTCACTGCAAATAAACCATTAGGCTGGTTGGGTATCATGTGGCTGATGTGCACATTTACAAGAGTGTTTAATTAGCCTAGTTAGCCAAGTTACTGTCTGTCTAGAATTATTGTTATTCATGTTTTTGTTGTTGTTGCATTTAAGGTGAAGAGGGAGTAAGATCACTAGAAAGCAGCATGCTGCCAGACCACCAAAGGAACCTAGAGGCAAGGGTGCAACTTTCACTGGGGACGAGGGACGGGGGACTGGGGGTGTGGACATGGCCCCCCCACATTCTGAAATTGCATTTTTGTCGTCCCCCCAGTTTTATCATTGGAATGTGAAACAAAATGTGGCAACTGTGTGCTTTAGGATCATGCGAACACCTCAGAGCGGTCAGGTAGGCTGTTTGGAGTGTTTATACGACTGGATAAAAAAAAAAGATATGTCCCCCCCACTTCTAAAACCAAAGTTGCGCCCCTGCCTAGAGGTGAACGTTTTTTATTTTATTTATTTAACCAGGTAAGCCAGTTGAGAACAAGTTCTCATTTACAACTGCGACCTGGCCAAGATAAAGCAAAGCAGTGCGATAAAAACAACAACAACACAGAGTTACATATGGAATAAACAAAACGTACAGTCAATGACACAATAGAAAATCTATATACAGTGTGTGCAAATGTAGTAAGTTATGGAGGTAAGGCAATAAATAGGCCATAGTGCAAAATAATTACAATTTAGTATTAACACTGGAGTGATAGATGTGCAGAAGATGATGTGCAAATAGAGATACTGGGGTGCAAATGAGCAAAATAAATAACAATGTAAATAACAATATGGGGATGAGGTAGTTGGGTGGGATAATTACAGATGGGCTGTGTACAGGTGCAGTGAACGGTAAGCTGCTCTGACAACTGATGCTTAACGTTAGTGAGGGAGATAAGTGTCTCCAGCTTCAGAGATTTTTGCAGTTCGTTCCAGTCATTTGCAGCAGAGAACTGGAAGGAATGGCGGCCAAAGGAGGCTTTGGGGATGACCAGTGAGATTTTTTTACATTTACATTTTAGTCATTTAGCAGACGCTCTTATCCAGAGCGACTTACAGTTGTGAGTGCATACATTTTTCATACTGGCCCCCCGTGGGAAACGAACCCACAACCCTGGCGTTGCAAGCGCCATGCTCTACCAACTGAGCTACAGGAGGCCTGTTGGAACGCATACTACGGGTGGGTGTTGCTATGGTGACCAATGATCTAAGATAAGGCGTGGATTTGCCTAGAAGTGATTTATAGATGACCTGGAGCCAGTGGGTTTGGCGATTAATATGTAGTGAGGGCCAGCCAACGAGAGCATACAGGTCACAATGGTGGGTAGTATATGGGGCTTTGGTGACCAAATGGATGGCACTGTGATAGACTACATCCAATTTGCTGAGTAGAGTGTTGGAAGCTATTTTGTAAATCACATCGCCAAAGTCAAGGATCGGTAGGATAGTCAGTTTTACGAGGGCATGTTTAGCAGCATAAGTGAAGGAGGCTTTGTTGCGAAATAGGAAGCCG